AAGCTGAAGAGCGCACGGTTGAAACTGCATGCTGCTTGAAGCTGTTTTTTTCTTTTGGGCACGGAAACAGCTCATGCCGACATTCCAAGGAGTGGAACGTGAGTTGCGACACCGCGACAAATACATCCATCCAGGTTGTTAATCGTTTGCGTGGCAGAAAGGAATACAACCACTGAAAAGGAAAGCCCCCGCAAGTAATCACTAGGAGTCTATTCGTTCAGGGGCCAATGTTAGTTCGCCTTTCCTTGCAAGGATTCATGTTGGGAAATTCCGCCGTGGTCCCTGAGCACAAGCAAGTCAGAAAGATCAGCGGCTATGAGAGGCATCTACCCCAAGCCCCACAGCAAAGGGCGCACACTTGCCGCACGAGAAGCGTCAACAGGACGGTTCTCGTTTCTAAGCTTGACCTGTGTGAACCGGTTTATGGGCATCTCATGGGCGAACGTCTACCTGTGAATCCCATGCACCGGGGTGGGAGGAATGTGTTGTGCTTGTCCACTCTGAGGGTTCCTCTGCCAGTGTGAAGAATTGGGCCTTCCGGCAGAAGTGGTGAGCAACCATGGCCATCTGCTTCCCTTTCTCCAAAACGTTGGAACTGGGAACCTCTCAGAGGGACCCTGCTATCAAATGCGCTCCCAGCCTCTACCCGTTAGTTGGTGGTTTGGATTGGTGGTTTTGGGAATTGAATTCTTGCAGAGGTAAATTTATGGGGAACCACCCCGCCCACCCTCCAAACCGCAAATCCAAAACCACCAAGTAGAAAGAAGCATTGACTTTTGGCAACTTTTAGTTGAGGGTTCCTTTGGCACCTGGCTCCGTTGGGGTCATGGGTTCCGGCCCAAACCTCCCACGGGTTTTGGGCGCTCTGCAATCCAAGGCGCGGCAGCAAATTTGCGCAGAGATCCGCCCAAGAAACTCTTTCCATTTGATTGCAACTCACAGGGTTCCCCATATTCTCGTTCCGGGTCATAAAAATTATAAACACATCAATTTTTGGGGGTTTAAAGTGGAGGGATGTTAGGTTGGACACATGGGTGTGTCTCTGATTTTTTCAGGCTCGGTACCCTTTTTGGGGTTGCCTTAAAGGGCACACCAAAGGGAAGGCGCTTATGCTGCTCGGTGTTTCCCAGCCATCCCCTTAGTTGTTTTTTTCTTCTCGGGTTTAGTGGTTGGGACATCCCCTTAGGTTTTCAGCTTTTTTTTAGTGTTTAGTGGTTGGGTTTCTCTTTAACCCACGAACAGTTGGTCGCTTTTTGCAGGGCATCAGAAAGAGCCCAGGAAAGCGGGCTGCCCTCCGAAAACATGGTCCAAATTGGGCGCAGCCACCCCCAAAACTGCTCCCAGGCAAGGGGGGTTCCCTCAAACCATGGGGGAAAGGGGGGTGCGAAAAAAAAGAGGACCAATGGCTGTGGGTCAAAGCCAATGGTACCATTTTGGGGTGGGTGAATTCACCACCCATTTTAGAACCTATTTTAGTGGTTGGATTGGGATGTTCCTTGGGGGTACGGGAGCAAGCACTTTGGTTGAGAGGTTCCAGAAAAGAAGCGGACCAATGTCTGGGAGCCCCAAGCACTTTGGTTGAGAAGCCCACTCAGCTGCCCCGCGGCTCGCTCGCTCAGGGGGTCGCCCCCGTCTTCGAAAAGCGGCACCCCTGGTCCAAGGCTGAGCCTGGCGCCGGGAGGCCCAGGTGGCGATGGGGCGACGGGAGAAATGGAACGACCCCTTTGTAAGAACCATTTCCGATTTGGGTTCCTTTAAGGGAATCCCCAAAACCGGTTCATTCCCAACACCCGGTCTCGGTCATTCCCTATCGGACCAGCAACAATGAGTGGCTTCCAGTTGGCTTCCCAGAAGAAAGGGCGGACGTCCAGTGATTGCACTAGCTTCTCCTCAAGAAGTCGAGGTGCCAGCAACACGCAAGAGGAAATGTCGATCTATTACGTGTGCTGCGTGCTTGGATGGCAATATTGAAGGGATATGGTCTGAAACGAGGACTCTGTGATCCTTTTTCAGGGTTGCCAACCGGAAAGTCCTATTGAGATCATTTTTGCCACACCCGCGAGATACATCTCGCAACAAATGGGGAGGAAAGGGGTTGTGGTATCACAGAAGTGGACAATGCCGACTGCACCGAACAGGTGTTCCGCGATGAACAACCTTCCAGTCAAGCAGTGCTTCTGCAAAAATCCGTTCGCGTTAAATGGGTCTGTATCACACTGGGTCATTCTGGTTCGATCCCCCCCAAAAAAAGACAAGAAGGTGGTTCTGGGCCTGGTTTCCTAAAAGGTACCCTCCAAAACGACCCACCCGTTGTTGCGATTGTAAGGGCTCTTCATAATGGAGGCCAATCCGATTTTCCATTTGAAACCACTGACGAATCCTTTCGTGAAAGAGACGCACCCACATGGGATACTCGTTTTGGGGTTGGTTCAAAGGGAAGTTAAAGGAAAGCCACCCATTTTGAATTTTGAGGGGTTGCCAGAAACAAAGACACCCAGCTGAGACCCAATCCCCCAGTTCATTTTTGGCTACAAAAAAGCCCCAAGTCTCTTTCACTTAGTCACTTGCATACCGTTTGAGTTGGAAACCGGGAAGTCCCCCAACACACGGCCTGGGACTCAGGACTGGAACTGCCCCCAGTGCGACGCCGAGAACCTCTCGGACCGCGCAACCTGCTTCTCTTGTGGCGCCTACAAGCCGGAGAGGAGCCATCCGAATCGAGGGCACGGTTTTGAGGCTCATGTTTTGTGGCTTTACTTGCTGGTGCGATAGGCGGCGATAAGTAGGGAATGAGGGAATGATCCCTTTGGTGGTCCCCTGAAAGGCAACGACAAGGGATGGTTATAAGGGTCATTCCCTCCTTCCCTACTGAGCACCAGCAAGTTTAAAGCCTTTAATACCCCCCTCCCCCGGGCCTCAAGAAAAACGTTCCTCACCGAACACACAAACACACAAACACACAAACACGCACCTGTTTTAGTAGGTGGGACGGGTCACAACAAGGGCCACCCAGAAAATGCTGGTTTTGCGGTTGGTTTCCTTTTTGAACCAAAGCGAACAGAATGCCTGCAAAAGCACCGACCCAGGTGGTTCTACTCTTCATGGGGCTAGTGCCTGAAACTTCATGACCAGGGAGAACCATATATCCACAACTTGATAGTAAGGCCATAGAGCCAAACCATGGCTGGTCGTTGTTCTTTTCCTTGGCCAAAAAGAATATTTTAATGGCAAAAGAAACGGTACCCCGCCGATGGTTTGGGGTATATGCCAACGGGTTTGTTTGGCTTATATATTTTTGTTCAAAGAACTGGTAGTTGGTCTGTTAAGGGACATGGGGCACTAATATGCTAATTAAAAGCCAGGGGCTCAGTCATAGTTTAAGATGTCCTCTTCGGGAAACAAGTAAGTTGTGGGTTCATTGAGGATGTTGCTTCAACTCCGCCAACGCGAGTGGGGGGGGGGGGCATTTTCCATGGGTTGGTTTGGGGGCAATGAAGCATTTTACCCATACAACCATTGTATCGAAAGTGGGTGTTCATATACATAGATGGACATCCATTCTATTTTAGTATTTACAGTACCTAACAGCAGGTATATAATATATATGTATATTATACAATATATGCATACATGGTCGGACCCCACTCCAATGCCCCCCTTTTCCCTCACGAACTGCTACAGGTCATGTTTAGCAATCGGTGGGTGTTGGGTGGAGGTGGGGGCACGAGCACATATATGTATGCAGGAATGTGTGTATGTCATGTAGTGTAATGTATTGCAATGCAATGCAATGCAATGTAATGAAATGTATATAATGTAATGTAACGTAATGTATTGGAGTGGAATGTAAGGTAGGGTCATACAACGGAATGCCATGACATGTGACGCAATGGAACGTAACCCAGTGTAATGTATTGCAATGTAATGTGAATACATATATATATATATGTATACGTAAGACATATATGTAAGTAAGTATACATATGCACATTTACAGCTTCTGTGTTTCAAAGGGCAAGCCTTGCTGGCGGTTTTCAAACCGCGAGGAGGGCGGGGGATTGGGACTGCGCCTGTGGGCTCCTGAACTACGCGGACCGCGACAGCTGCTTCAGCTGCGGGGTGTTTCGGGAGGCGGGCGACAGGTTTGCAGGGGCGTGCCTGGAAAATGGTTGTGTCTTCTGATTCTTTTGGGGGTACCTTCTTTTTTGTTTGGTAACACTAAGAGACACACCGCCATCTTGTTTTTTTTTCTAAAAGAAAACACACCGGAATGAGGGAAGCCCCTGTGTCGTGGGGCTTGGTTGGGCAAACCTTTAGGGCTGATTTGGGCTCCCTCCTACTCCAGGCACGAGTCTGCACTCGGCGTCCCTTTGGTTTGCGTTTGGCCAAGCATTGGTTCCCTTTGCTTTGTCCGTTGCTTTTTCTTTCAAGCAACCGCAAAGGGAGCATCACTTTTAAAGAAGCACGGACTGGCGGTGTGCTGCCCACCTTTTGAGTTTTGTCGTGCCACCCATGGCGGCAACTCGGGAAACCTTCTAGGTCCCCCAGTAGTGCCCTTCTTAACCCCTTTTTTGGTTGGGAGGACCTAGCCTTCGTACAGCAAAATACACATCTCTGGTTGCCTGGCAAAAATTGAGGCCTTGTCAAAGACTCCTCAAGTGAGCTGCAACATGATGTTACCACGAACCACTGGCTTATCTTTTCCAGGCCATCTCAATTTCGAGCTTTGTTTTATCAAACGATTTTTCCCCATTTTAGCAAGCCATCCTCGAACTTGCCCTCAGGCTGGTTTAAAGGGAACCTGCCCCAAAAAATGATTTTGAGAGCCCCTCATGCTCACTTTGACGGGCCCAGTTTGTGCCCATCGCAGGGGGTTGTTTGATCTGATCTGACAGGAAGCGGGCGAGTTGGAGAGAGAGGAGTTGGAGGAGCTTTCCGAAGGGAACATAGACCAATTGGGATGTCCGACCTGCATGCAGACTGGACTCTTTTGCGCTGTCAAGTTGGGAATTGTGTGCTCTTCCCTTTTTGCTTGTCCGACCTTTTTGGGATCAGAAGGACAGGACGCAGTTCTGACTTGAATTCTGGGGTTCAAACCGCCATTCAAAGGCTGGTTGGGTTCATATCATCACCATTGTTTGCCTAAGGGTTGTCAAAATTTCAAATTGGGTCAACCATTCTTTTACTGGGGGGGTTCAAAAACCCTAGGGCTGAGCCCTTCTGGACTTTCATTTGGCCCTAGCAAGCTCTCAGTCTGGAAATTTGAGATCCCTCCAAGCGCGCTTTCTATAGAAATGGCTTCATGGGGAAAACCCTTCAACCTCTGCTCCGCCAGCCAGCGGCCTCTGTTTTAGCTTTTGGCGTCTTTGGCTCCGTTCATTTTGGTGGGGTGTGCAACAAGCCATGGCTTTTGGCTGACAAAACAGGCGGCCATGAAATCCAAGACGCGTGCTCCTACTTCGGTGGCCGAGCGCCGATTTTCCGAGCTCCACGTTCCGATAGTTCTTTCGGTGTAAAGTTTCCCTTGCGGTGTAAAGCGTGCTTGAGGATTGGGCAAGAAACCAAGTGATGTGAGACACTTTTTTTTAAATGCGCTTTTGTTTTTGGCGTGTCTGTTTTGCCCCCCCTCCCTGTTTTCCCCGTTTGGCGGACTTTGAGCGTACCAGCGCGCGCATTTGAACCAAGTATGGAGGTGCCCAACATAGCTATGGGAGGCGAATGTTTGTTTCTTTAGCAGTTCCTAGCCATCCCAGAAAGCTTTTCAGCTTTTGAGTTGGTTTAGTGGTTGGGTTGCCCATTTCACCCACGGGTTGTTAGTCACTTTCCGCGGATCCGACCACGGACCTTCCAGTTTGCAGCTCCGACCTTTCAGGTGTTTGGGGGTCTTTCCATTTCGCAAACCAAGAGTTCGTCACTTTTGGCACGGGATCCGGCTTTGTTGCCAGCTCCGACCCTTCAGGAGCCGGACCTAGCAAAGAAAGAAGCACCTTTACCATCCGAAGAAGAAAAAAGCAAGGGGAAAGCAAAGACGCCCAGGCCTGACAGAGCCGACCCGAGTGAGTTCAGGAGCCGGAGCAGGAGGAGGAGGAGCCAGACCCCGAGGCCGAGGAGGCCGAGGAAAACGAGGCCGAGGCCGAGGAGGCGCTGGATCTCAGCATGCGGCCTCCGGAGCCGCAGCTCCCGCCCAGGCGGCGGGGGGGGCTGCAAGCGGAGAAGCTCCCAAGGGCGGGGGCGCGCCCCTTGAGTCGTGGGACTGTTCCCGCTTTCTGGGGTAAAGGTTTGGGGTAAAAAGGTTTGGGGTAAAGGTTTGGGGGAAAAAGGTTTGGCTGTACAATGGAAAAAACAACTGCGGGGAAAAGGGAAGGGTTGGGGCGACATTTTCTGGCTGTACATTAAACAACGCCGCGGAAAAGGGAAGGGTTGGGGTGAAATTTGAAGTTTGTCTCACTTAGGCGGGGAGAGGGACAGGTTTTTTGGGAGATGGTTTTTCTCACTCCAAGGCGAGTCGACGTCACTTTTTTTCTTTGGGCTTCCCTGGTTCTCAGCAGGGAATGATGGAATGACCAGACTTGATCCCGACAAACCATCCCCTATGCTTCCCATCAAGAATCCCCAGGGTTCATTCCCAGCACCCTGCATCATTCCCTGCTGAGCACCAGCAAGTTTTCTCATCTTGTTCAACCTGCTGCCCATGTTTTTGTGGCACCTATTTTGGGTGGTTCGTGATGCCGGCACGGTGCAGGCTGATGCTTGGATGATTGGCCGACGCCCCCCAAGTGCGCATTGGGCCCCAGGTTTGGTGGCGAGAAACGAATGGATTTTGTTTGCTGCCTTTCTGACCCCTGCCACCCCAACAAGGGGAAAGGGACAGATGAGACTCGCCCGCGTTTGTTTCTACACTGCCGCTCCATACTCCTAAGCTTCCTTGAGCTTTGTTCTCAGTATTTTCCATAGCAAATGCAAGTGGAAGTAATCAAGCCAACCAGAACGTCACTTGCACCAAGCTCGCAAAACAACTCGCAGCATAATTATCGCTGGAAGAATGAGGGGTGGGGGAACCACTGTGACACCAGCGAACCTCCGCAACCTTGCTGCAAATAGTAAAAGATTGCGGCCCTTGCGTTTCGCGGACTTTTATACAAGAGACCGGGTGGTTGGTGGGGATGTGAATTGCGCAGTGTTTTCTGAGCTTTGCAGCGCTAAAACTACATTTCAGGGAGCATCCCTTCTGTTATAAAACTGTTTGAGGGAACTCCCACAATCCTGGAAGTTCGAATCCGCCAGGTCCGCGCGGCCTACGGTTAAACCCGCGCCGACGCCGGTGCCGGCGCCGGTGCCGAAGCCGAAGCCGAAGCCGGCGACGAAGCCGGCGGTGAAGCAGCGCCCAAAGCCGGCGCCGAAGCCGGCGACGCCGGCGACGAAGCCCATGGTGCCTGCGACGAAGCCGGCGCCTATGGTGCCGAAGGCCAAGACCAAGGCACAACGGGTTCCGGCGCCACAACTCGATCTTGGTTTTAGGTATGATTTTGAGAGATACGCTTTGCATAGGAGTTCTATGCTCAAGAATGGATGCAACCATTTGGGTGTTGCAGGGCGCTGTTGCAGTCGTCTTGTTCACTTTTCGCTTCAGGTGTGCTGCTGTGTTGCTCCGTATTTTTTTCTCAGGTTGCTTGCTCAGTGTTGTTTTGTTGAACAAGACACATGTTTCGTGTTTTTGCATCTTTCTTCAGGTACTGTAACTTTGGGTCGCGGGTTCCGGTCCTAGTTGCTGGCTCGCTTCGGTCCTAGTTTTCATCTCGCTTCGGTCCTAGTTTCCTTACTCGCTTCGGTCCTAGTTTCTTCGCCGTTGACTATGGGTTGATTATGGGTTGAAGATCGATGTCATGTGGTGTGCGGCTTTTTAAGTGCAAGTCAGAGGCGGGATGCCGGTCAAAAGGCCTAGCAGCCATGGCCGGGTTCTCTGTCTTGTTGTTAGGTGTTTGAGAGGCAACATCCTTGTCGACCCCACCCCACGCGGCATGTCTTGTTGTTAGGTGTTTGAGAGGCAACATCCTTGTCGACCCCACCCCGCCCGGCATGTCTTGTTGTTAGGTGTTTGAGAGGCAACATCCTTGTCGACCCCACCCCGCCCGGCATGTCTTGTTGTTAGGTGTTTGAGAGGCAACATCCTTGTCGACCCCACCCCGCATGTCCGAGGCATGTGTCTTGTTGTTAGGTGTTTGAGAGGCAACATCCTTGTCGACCCCACCCCGCCCGGCATGTCTTGTTGTTAGGTGTTTGAGAGGCAACATCCTTGTCGACCCCACCCCGCCCGGCATGTCTTGTTGTTAGGTGTTTGAGAGGCAACATCCTTGTCGACCCCACCCCGCCCGGCATGTCTTGTTGTTAGGTGTTTGAGAGGCAACATCCTTGTCGACCCCACCCCACCGGCATGTCTTGTTGTTAGGTGTTTGAGAGGCAACATCCTTGTCGACCCCACCCCACGCGGCATGTCTTGTTGTTAGGTGTTTGAGAGGCAACACCCTTTGCGTGTGTCCTGTTGTTAGTGCTCAAAAAGCTATCTTCCACTGCGCCTGAAGTGATCCAAAAATTGCGACAGAAGTGATCCGCAAATGCTCAAACTACGACCAAAGTGAGTGGATTTCAGCTGCGACCAAAGTGATCCAAAAACTGCGACCAAAGTGATCCCCCCGCCTACTGTAACCCTTACTTGGTGGTTTGGAATGCTGGGATTTGAACCCTTGGTCCTTGTAGAGGGCAGATTGGAGAAACCCCCTCCTTCACCACCAAGCCCGGCTCCAAATCACCAACTAGGAGGAAGCCGATTTCCCCCTCGTCGGCCCGCAACGCGCAGGCGGCCGCCGCCCCAAACGCGGCCCCCGCGCGCATCCCGCCCGGCGCGGGAGGCATCAAGGGCTCCGCCGGCTCCGCCTCGGCGGCTCCCGCCGCGCCCGGCGGAGAGGCCATCAAGGCGTGGGACGTGTTTTGCTCAGGTCGGGATGGTCGGTTTAAAGGGGACGCCAAAGGGCACTGAGATTTTTCTCCCTAAGAAACAGAATCTGTACATTGTATCTTTGTTGCGTGTGTGTGTGTGTGTGTGTCACCTGCGTCTGTGTCTATGCCCCTCTCTCTCTCTCTCTCTGTGTGTGTGTGTGTGTTTGTTTTTTGAGGCTACCATAAACCACCCACGTCACAGGTGGTGGACATGCTGCCCAAATGCCAAATGATGTCCACCACAGGGTGAAAGACTCTGGGCAAATCAGGACATCACTGGGGGGGGACGTCACCCAGGAGTAAGTTTTCTTTCATAGGGATCCCTTACCCTCGACCCAAGATGGTCCCGTAAAATGGCCACGGTTTCCTTTGACATGGTGGTTGTTGGGAAACGTTTTACATTTTTCCTTATTGTGGTTTAGTGGGAAATCCCCCTTAAGTGCTCAAATTTTAGATTTGTGCTCCCCTTTCCAACGTCAACCAAGTTGAGTTTACATACCGGGCCATTTTGAGAACAGGACTTTGCGATGGCTGCGAGATATCCCTAATTCTTTGATTTGGAGATCTTCTCAGAAATACATGGATAAAGTATCTGAAAAGTCATAAACGGCTCGGAATTTGGCCCATGAATCTGGAGTTGGAGACACTTCCATTTCCCTTCTTTTGTCCAGAAAACCATCAGAACCCCAGGAGAAACTGCGATCGGTTTTCGAATAGAACGAAGGTTGAAAAGAATGGGCAATGAAGCCCTCGACTAATACTACCCCAGCTCAACATCCGTTTGATGGCGCCACCGTGGATTCTGAGGTTAAGCTGAATAGAGTGCAGTGTTCAGCACCCTTGGTTTGGGTTTGAATTTGGTGAGCCTGGCAGCTGTAAGGGGCCAGCGGATACCAGGCAAGTCATAGTCGGCCGCTGCCGTTGTACGCTTTCCATCTCCTCATGAGGTTTGGTCAATATCCGGTAGTCTATGGCCGTTTTGGGAGCACCATAGGGGACTGACGAAGTTTCTCACAAAACGAGGATGCTCAGCCTCCCCCGCCCACCAAAAAGAAACAGGACCAATGCGCTGCTCCCACTCTCCATACAAAGCAGCGGCCCGTGCTCCAGAAGGTGAATCTTGACCTGAGGTTGTCAGCACTTCCGGATGTTGGACAACCGTTAGAAGGTTCCTATGAATGAAAGAAATGACCATGGCCTATACCATGCTTTCCGTTTTAGTTTCACCTCGCTGTGCCATGCACTCTCATTGACCAGACTCACAAGAGACCGAAGAACCCCTTCCTTAGAAGATAGAAGGTTCCTATGAAGTAAAGACTAGCGACCATGGCATCACTAGCGACTGAAGCAGGGGTGTCTTTTTGCCACCTTTTGTGGAAAATTGTTCGACCCCCTCGTAGTGAAGGATTCCTTTTTAAGGTGGTCGCCCATTTTCTCACAAAAGGTGGCGAGAAAAAAAAGGGCAACAAAAAACACCCCCCCTGGACCGAAGGTTCCATGGCCCCAGGTGCTCGATCGAACTCCAAATCGATCCGCGGTCCATGGATCGAATCGAGGCCCTGTCGCGGGCGTCGCAGAACTTCAAGAAGTCCTGGGCGCCGCGGCCGTGTTCGCGGGGCCGTTTTCGGCGGGTTTTGAGGGGCAACTCAAACCGGGGGCCTCAGAAACCCGCCGGGTCTTTTCCATTGGGGCGTGTGGAGTTTTGAGGTTGGACCCGCTTCGATGTTCCTGGTGGTTTCCCTCAAAAAGGCTGCCCTCAAAGAGAACCCCATTTAATACCACTACAGATGGGTTATTTCCTTTTGAAAAACGTCACAAAAGCGGGTCCATAATTTCGAGAAACCACCAGGAGGTGTGTCTCCTTTTTCGGAGGGGACCCTTTTAGAGTCGTTTTCACGGAAAACTCAAACCTGGATTGGCCATTTCCTAACATGGGTCTTTGTTAGAATAGAGGACCCCCTAACATGGCAAGGGTTTCCTTTTGGCTTCCTTTAAAAAATCCCAAAGGGGGTTCACCAATTTGAGATGCATTCCCCATTTGGGGAACTTCCAATTGATCATTAGCAACAGGTTCCCGAGCTATTTTCGCGATTGTGGTGCTTGGTTTTAACCTTCAAAGAAAACTCAAACCTGGATTGGCCATTTCCTAACATGGGTCTTTGTTAGAATAGAGGACCCCCTAACATGGCAAGGGTTTCCTTTTGGCTTCCTTTAAAAATTCCCAAAGGGGGTTCACCAATTTGATGCATTCCCCATTTGGGGAACTTCCAATTGATCATTCGCAACAGGGTTCCCGAGCTATTTTCGCGATTGCGGTGTTTGGTTTTAACCTTGGAATTTGAACCGAGTTTCCTGGGTGCATAGGTGTCCTTTCTAGATTAGCTTGGTCAAACATCGATGGCACTGGTTCAGATGGGTTTCATTATTTTTCAAAAGGCTACCCATGCCTGGGTGGTATATTAGCTTATATGGAGCCCCAAAAAGCTCAAATTTTCTGGAGGACCTGAGGTGAGTCGATCAGATGTGCACTCGTTCGTTTTGCCAGCTTCAAGAACCCCCATTCGAACCCATACGTGTAAGATGCAATGCACAGCACGCCACGCAACCCGAGACATGTGTCACTGGACGTCACGAGTTCGGTCGCCTTAGGCCTTTTGGCAGAGGTGCCACTTTTGAAAGAGGAACATCTAGAGCCAACTGAAGCATCCAGCTGGAGCATGTCAAGCAGCCCTTTTGCTAGCTTTGCCGGCATGGATTTGGCATCTCATTAAATCGGTCTGTGATTTTCTGGGCCTACCCTTTGTGGCATTGGTAGAAAGGAAAACCAAAACAACACCACCATTTTGAGGTCCCGCTATTTTGACACATCCACATGTCCATCTTTCAATCCTGAAACAGGGTTTCCAGCTTGTCCGGCCTTTTTTTGGGTTCATCAATTCTTCTAGCCTTGACGCGGCGCAACGGGGCGTTTTGGGGGCTTTTGTCTCATGTGCTTCTCTTGTGGGTGCTCAGTAGGGAATGTGGGAATGAACCCTGGGGTCACTTAAAGGAACCAGTTGGATGTTTTACAGGGATTTTTTTCCAACATTCCCTGCTGAGCACCGGCAAGGTGTTTTCCTTTTCGCCGGAGAAAAACAACAACAACTAAAAAATACAAAAACAACTCCTCACCGAACATACACCTGTTTTAGTAGGTGCGGACGTGTCACAACAAGAAGGCCCGCCCAGAAAATGTCTGTTGGTTTCCCTGGTGGTTTTCCTTGCCGAAGCCGAGATGCAATACTGCAAGAGCTTGGACTGCAAAATCCTGGACCCCGGGCAATGCGAGCCCAAGCTCATCGAGCGCCTTGAAAAAGATGAATCGCAGAGAGCGGGAGGGGGGCTGGCTCCAGGAATATGCCAAGGAATTTGGCGCCCCAAATGGAAGCGCTTCTTGGGGCAGGCTACCCACGCGTAAATCCATAACTTACTGCGGATGGTGGCGAAATCCGCTTCTCGCACCACAGGACACCATGGGAAGCCATTGTTTGCTGGGTATTTACAGGGCAATCCTCAGAAACCTGGATTTCTCAGCTGGTGCGAAGTGGATTTCGTCCATCAAAAGTGTCTGCGGGAAATTTGGCCAAACACCACAGAGAATGGGAGCTGCAAAGGACAGGGGCGATTTAATTTGGTTTATAGGGTAGGGCTGGTTTCTGTCCGCAAGATAGCGGTATGTTTTCGATCATATGGGCAACGGTGAGTGTGCACTCACCATTTCCTGAAGTAAAGCGGATGACATTGGGCATGCAGGGGCGCGCACACTCTCGTTGAGCGCATTCCAAGAGTAAGACTAGGACTTGGTGGTTCCCAGCCATCCCCTTAGCTTGTTAGGTTTTTAGGGTTAAGTGGGGTTTCCCTTCAACCCACAAAAAGTCAAGCTTTTAGCAGGGGAGCTGAGAGCCCAGGAAAGGGGGGTTCAGTACTTGCCAACTTCCCATGTCGCTTAGTTGGAAATCGGGAAAGCAATGAATATTGTGGCTCGATAATTCCTTTTTGGCAGTTGCAACGGACGGCAGTGGAGTGGGTTTGGTTCTGGTCAAATGCCGCCGTCCTTGTTGTTCAAACACCTTTGATCACAAGTGGATTTGGCCCAACGCGGATCTATGGATTTGCCTATCAAGTTCGAACTGCCCAGGATGTGTTTGGTAGTTGATTCTGTTTGCGGGTCTGGTAGTGGGACTCTTGAAAGGCCAGGATAAATCACTGACAATGCGGTGTTTGATCAGGAGCAAGCAGCACCCTCAAAGGGACACCCAGATCTTGGTTGATTCTCGACCTTGCACCGTTCGACTTCTTGGGCAGTTAGCGGTTTTCCACAAGCAACATGTTCATTGTTTTGCAGGTCAGTCTTTGTTGTTGTTTTTGAGGTTGCCCCCCTTGGTCGCTTTTTTAAAGGGAACCCAAAAGGAAAACTGAAGCCAAAAAGACGTGCCACCCAATTGATATTTGTCTCCACCCGGGGATTTCCCCCGCGAAACCCCGAGTCGCGAGCGAGGCAGTTCTTGGACTACACGGCGGACCTCATCCTCGCGGAGCGGGTGCCGGGAGGTGTTGGGGGTTTGGAGCTGGATGGGGGTACTTGCTGTTGTTCATCGTTTTTTTTTTTTTTAAACAACAAATCAGTTTTTCATTGTTTTTCTGTTTCACTCCCTGTTTTTCCCAGTGTTTCTGTTTTTTGTTTTCTTGTTTTTTGGTTTCCGTTTGTGTATTTCGTTTGAGGAGTTTCGGCATGTTTGGGTTGGAGAGGGTGGGCCGGCGGGTTGAATGGGTGTTGTGTTTCGGGGGATAGCCGGCGCCTCGTTGTCTCGGGTGGCTCAGCGGCGCGGTTAACAATCAGAAGCCGGCAACCCTACGGCCACTTCCATTTGCTGAAATGGCTGTGGTTTAAAAAGCAGGAATTCCAAAATGGGTTAACATGAACCAAAACCTGCGGAACCCCTCCGATCGTTTAATTTTGATCCACACCCAAATGAATATATGGTGTACTTTTTCCCTGTTGGTGTTACAGGGAATCTGTCACTGCTGGACATTTTTCGTTTCAGGACTGAAGCAAATGGAGGGCCAATTCTTGTAAGAAGTCCGATTAGTTCGGTCGAGACTCTGGTTGACTTTTCGTCATAAATAGAATAATGGGGTATTTCCGAGAGGGGGTTCTGTGTGACCGTCGGCGCCGGGGCTTTGACAAGTTCACTCAGAGTTCACTTAATGTCTACTCGACCATCCCAGACAAATTCCCACATCCCGAAGATGGGTGACAAACACCACTCCAGGTAAGTGGCAGCTCTCCATGTCATTGTGACATTCACCCACCACTTACCCACCACTTACCCCACGATCTACCCACCATCTACCCACCCTTTACCCACAATTTACCCACCATCTACCCACCATTTACCACCACTTATCCACCTTTCGCCGCCATTTCCACTCCTTCACAGCCGACCCGGGTCATTTTCCCCGGCAAGGATCTGGAGCCGCCGCTGGGTGACACGCAGCGAGTCACTGTGACCATCCCGTGCCGCGGTTTAACGCTTTGGGCTGATGGACTTCTCAGTTGTTCAAAGCCAAGGTTGTGGGATCACTCGGGGTTTATCCAACCACTTCTGTGATACAAGTTGGAATCTCCCTCTTTGGGGGTTAGTCTTTGGGAAGCACTTTCTGTTGTATCACAGAAGTGGATTCCATTTCAACCACAGCGTCCAAAGCGAATCGACCGGATCTGACCTTTTAGTTTTCCCCTTTTGGTCCATTTTAGTCATGGCCCCAACAGGTGAGCCCTTTTTTCTGGGTTCTTTGGGCAAGTGAGTTGGACTTTTCCCATTTGGGCGTGAATTTTGATTGGAGACCCTGTGGAGGACAGCATCTAGGTGGGGATTTATGTCCGCCAAATACTTTCCAGGTGGTTCCCCCAAAGCAAAACGGGTACCACTTTTTGGAGCCACAGCCTGGTCAAGAAACCACCGCTGGCGGGCTTGCTTCTGTCGGAGCAGCCCCCTCCCCCTCCCCCGCGCCCCGGTTCCGAAGGCTCTGGCTCGCTCTGTGCATCGGGAAGTAAAGCCAAGGTGCTCGGTCGCGGAGCGGGTCAAGAGACTCAACCAGCTCGGGCTGAAGCAGGAGCCGCCGATTTGTGTCCCCGTCGTAAGATGGGCGTTTTTGAGTGGGGCCATATCCGCACTCAGTGACTCAGGCCAGTGCTTGCCAAGCCACAGCAGGCCACCTTTTGGCGGTTTATCTTCCAGTTTTTTGGGACCTATACAATCGGATTCCCATTGCCATGGGGGCACGGGAATCAATCCGGTTTTCCACAACCATGTTACCATGGCTGCTCCAGCGCGGCATCCGTTCCAAACCCAGAGACGCTCCCAGAACAAGCATGATGGTTTACAATGGCAACTCGTGGGCAGTGTAATTCTATTGATTGGGTTCGGGGGGTCCGCTTTTTTTGTGCATTCCCAGGTTCGAATATGCGTGCGGAGTCACCTTACACTTTTTTTTGATTTGGATATCCTTTTGGAACCAAATGGAAAGCTATCTCCTGACCTCCAAACTAGCCAACCTCTTGGAGCATGGATGAAACTCCTGTTCTGGGGGTGAATTATGATGGTGCAGCCCCAAATGAAAAAAATCTTTTTTGAAAGGTACCTTCATGGAACCCGAGGGTTGCAGATCGAAATCCTTGCAACAAGAGTCGGCGTTCAAGGGGTCGCCAACCAATCCAATTTTGGTTTCCCTTTTCTGGCGAGGGGGTAATCGTTTTGCGTGTTGCCGTGCCTTCATACCGGGGTTGAGCCGCCTTTGTCACTTGGACCCAGCAAAAAAAATGCTTTGACTTTGAATGGAGAACGCTTTGCCAAATCTTGGTGGCTCCCAGCCATCCGGTTCCTTAGCTTTTTAGATCCTTTTTGTGTTGAGTGGTAGTTTTCGTTTACCCCACGAACAGTTAGTCACTTTTAGCGGGGGATCCGAAAACGGGCAGCCCAGAAATGTTTGGACATAAACCCCAAGCGTAAATCATGTTCCCCGAAGCGTCTTGAGCTTTTTCAAAAACAGGCATGGACAAGAAAAACTGCACAAGCGTCTCCTCAGGTCTCGTCATCTTCCATTTGCTTCGTAAGATAGTTGTGTTAAATGGGGATTTCTCCCTGGACCAGGTTTCTCGTTGTTTCCCTTGGCGATCTCCTACAATTGGAGGTGTCAACCCGTCAACCCGATGTACAGCATGAGTTCCTTTGAAGTGCCTTTGTTTCGTTTTGCATGCTTTTTAGCGTCGGGCAGAGTGGCTCTGCATCCGAGAGAGAGAGAGAGAGAGAGACAACCTCTCTACTGGAGGACCTAGTCAACCCTCAACCCTGGCAAAGATGGGAAAAGAGGTCCAGTAGTGACCGTGTCCCTGAGAAGCCAAGGGAACATCACAAAAAGCAAGTCGAAGCAAATTGAAGACAACCCGCGCAGGAGGGTTCCCTACAAAAATAGAATAGAAAAGAGAGAAAATGGGGGTAACCCTACTTCTAACCTCTCTACTGGACCCAGTATTTTTCGGGGGGGCCCCAACATGGATTTCCAAAGCCATTGCCAAAAAAGGAGACAAACCACCAAAAAGGCGCCCCCCAAAACAGGGGACACCCCCTCTGAAAGGGGCGTCGACCCGTCAACTTGAGGATCTGCGACTGCAGCAGGTGGCCACTCACTTGTTGGTGCTCGAGGAGCAGAAGGCGCTCAAGGCGCGGACCCCGCGCAAACCCCGCGCTGATGGGGGCAGGGGAGGTTCCGGCCGACCGAATGGTTGGGGTCTGCTACCCACGGGTTTTCCGCTTCAATTTGGTTCAAGCGCATGGAGATACGTTTGGGTAGACTGGATCTGTTTGAACGCAGATAGATATACAGAAATGTCTGGTAAGTTAGGCTTCAACGCATATGTTCTGTAGATATGGTTGGGTTGACTAAATATGGAGGACTAGACAAGATGAATTTCTGTGTGGGGTTTCTTAACGTTTCCTTAGCGTTTCCTTTGGGTTTCGTTTTGATTTCCTCAGCAAATGTCCTTTCGACAGTTGAAGGGGGGGGGCGTTCCGACTTTCAGAAACATCTTTTGCTTTTGTTTAAGGAGGGGACTTGTGCTTTCTGGATCGCCCTGTTGGTTTGTCTTATGCGAAGCCCCCCCCCCCCCCGTAAGAGGGTAGAGTATGTATAATGTGTCGCGGGACCCTTTCCTGAATATATAGCGCAATTTCAGGCCCAATGCTGCTCAAATAAATCTTTTAAAAAAGGGAAAAAGGCCACGGCCCGTTTTATCCTTTGTCAAGAAACCTCCGTTTGCATGGTGGACTATGTGGGGCTGTCTAGATGCGGTCAACGCCAAGACATACCTTTTGACTTTTTGTTCTCAGATGGCTGCCCTGTGGACTCAGCCCCATTCGGGCCTACTGTTCTAGGGGTACCTTCTCCATTCTTTCCAGGGATCCTGCTTTTCAGGAAACCATCAAAACCCCAGGGGAAACAGCCGGGTTTTGCAAAGAACGATGGTTGAAAAGAATGGACATGGAATGAGCCTAGAACTGTGGATGGTTGCGAACTCCGTTCGCGCCATCTAAGGAACCCTGGTTTCTGATGATTCCCCTGCAAGTACCAACAAACGTTATGGTTTCAACCATGGTTCCAAAGTGGTGCGAACGGATTTCGCAACCATCCACAATAATTTGTCCCATAAGATATTAGAAGACCATGGGCATGGGTCATCTCCTCCAGGTGTAATCTCAGTACAGAAACCCGATCGACGCAGCTGAGACGTACGGCTTGTGGCTTTTACAGCCGATCTCACCGGATTCTCTACATCTCGAACGTGGGTCTGCGCAAGACTGCCCTGCTTGGTCCTCGTTTCGTCCCTTCCGCTGCTCTGGCTTCGCAAACTGAGAACCTTTGGTCTTCAGCATCGTCAAGTCGGCCAACGAATTCAGAAGCTTCGGCTCAGAAACCTGCTTGCCAGCTCATGTTGCGCAAAGACTGGTTGAGCAGAAGGCCCCCCCCCCCACCCGTGCAGGTGCTGGGCATGCTGGAACTGGTCTACCAAGAGGCCGGGTCCTTTCATTGGTGCAGCAGTTGAAAGGAAAGATGCAAAATGAAACGGAGCTGCTTTGGATTTTGGCCTTTGGTTTTCCTTTTCGTTTTTCCTTTGGTGTTCCTTTGGTTTTCGTTTTGACTTTCCTTTGTTCTTTCGTGTTCCATCGGTGTTCCTTTGGTTTTCCATGGGTGTTCCTTTGTTTTTTGCTTTGGTGTTGGTTTGTTTTTCCTTTGTGTTTCCTTTGACATTCTCGATTTTTGCTTTGGCGTTTCTGTGATTTTCCTTTGGCTTGGCTTGTGATCGATCGGAATAGATCGGAGCCTCCTTGAAAAACTTGAGCTGACTTGCCGTTCCACATTCTGAGCCGACAATCGTTAGCAACTTGTGGATTTGGTGATTCCCTTGAAACCACAATTTAGAGAGTCGTTTTGAGCTTGTGGATCCCGGTGGTTTCCCTTCAAACCACCAAGAGAGTAATTGTGAGACGTCCAGACGCATCGGATCATCGCGGACGCTCGCAGGTCTCAGACCCCAACGAGTTCGTGCGCACCCAAGCGCTGCTCATGAAGTAGGGCTGGCCCAAACAGGGAGTTGTCAAGACGATACATAAATACATATATGGCTGTGGGTCAAAACTAAATAACCAGCGGACCGCAGATTTTAGTTCATATTTCCATTTACCAAGGTTGAATTTTGGGTACCCATTTTTGACCCACAGCCATATGTATATATACATATATTTGTATAAATGGCCAGTTCCTTTTTAGACCTGTTGCCCAGGCTGCCAAGGTGCCGCAATGTGTTGCTTGTTCTTGTCTTTCTGTTTCGGGGACACCCTTTGACAGACTGCTGGTTTTGACAACCCGCCGTTTGGCGAGCGATGTCCGATGTGCGAGATGAGACATGAGTCAAATGGATGACCTGGTTCAGTTCTGGTCAAAAGACCCCTTTACTTTGGGTTAGCAGGGATATCCCCACCTTGTAGTAAGGATCCTTTGCAAGAAGCATCCCAATGAGAGGAGCCATGACCATAGGCCAAACAAAGGGAGTGATGAACAGGGCTCATGTGCTTCACAGCTGATTTCTTAAGCGGAGGTCTTCTCTCGCCGAATCGCGGGGAATGCTGCCTGCCGCTTCGGCCAGTCAGCTCGGCAGCTTCAGAGCTTCCGATTCCTCGACATCCAGCGCGGGGGAAGCCCCGAAGTTGACGACCCTTCCTCCCCCGTTGCCATGGCACTCGTGGGGTACTCGGAAGAACGCCAGGTTGCCCAGTTGAAGATGCTACTTGTTTGAGGAATCTCCTTGTTGATCCCCGATTCTTGGGGATGTTTGATATATATATATATATATTCTTTGTAGCCTATCAAGGATCCCTCACATTTGGCGAGTCACTGGCTCATCAGATGAGCAGAACATGGAATCTTCTTTGTCCTAGGGTTGTTCAAAGGCAATCAGATGCTGGAGGTTTCTTTGGTTGTAGCGGCCTTTTTCAGAGGTCCCCTCCCCCATGTTTCTTGGTGGCTGCCAGCCATCCCCTTAGCTTTTTAGCCTTTTAGCGTTTAGGGGGGGGGTTTCCATTTGACCCACTAAGAGTTAGACTTTTAGCGGGGATCTGAGGACAGCCCAGGTTTGAGACCAACCCAGACGGAAGCTCGTGTGTTTCCTCGCCGCTGAGCCCGTTGTGGGCAACTGGAAGAAAGTGTTTCGAGCGAAGTCGCGGTGGCAAAAAGGCGGGGACTCACCTCTGACGCCTGGTGCTTGTGTTAAGTCGCCCGTGTTTGTGTGAAGTCCAGATGCGGTGTCCCCATTTGTGTTCAGACACCTATTCTAATGGAACCGCGTATTCAAGCTGTGGCAAAACATGGGTCGCTTGCCGCGATGGGGCTATGGGTCAAAACCCCGTACCCCCAGTGAACATCCCAATCCCCACTAAAGTTCACTAACATAGGTTCTAAAATGGGTGGTGCACCTACCCCAAAATGGGATCCCATTGGTGTTGACCCACGGCCAATGGGGGACATCCGAGCCAGGAGTAGGATGATGCATGCCATTCATCTGGTAGGATTACGCAGCCGGATTTGTCAGCAACACCGGTATGGCGAACAACGTGAGCCGCAAGACTTGGGACCGCTTTTGACTCAGTTTGGCACTTCTTGAAATCTTGACATGGAACAGAATCTGCATGCTGTTTGGGGTAAGTCTGTGAAGGGACATGATCTGGTGCACAAGTTTTGCTTTGAGGGCAGCCTTTTTAGGGTCGCTTCTGGATACCAAAGGCAAACCACCCTTCACCACCCCTTTCTGGATTGCGAGGCCAGGTATCATCAGGGTGTTCCCTTCCAAAAGCGATGAGTTCCATGAAAAGCGAAAAGGGGACACCCAATTTGTCAACCAGGCGCTTGTTCATCCGAGGTTCGCAGATGGTGTACCTGCTCGGCTGTCCAAATTGACGGAAACCACTTAGAAGACACCCTCTTTGGGGGTCTCCTATTTTGCGACAGCCCCAAATGGAGCAGGACAGCTCTGTCACCCTACATGCGGGTTTAGGATTTTTAGGGTTTTCAGGGTTTAGGGGCTTTCAGAGGAGGTTTAGCTTAGGCTTAGCGTTTAAAGTGTTAGGTTGAGGGTGTTTAGGGTTTAAGTTTTGGTTTTTGAGGGTTTTTAGGGTTTCGGGTGTGGGGTTTTGTGTACGGTAGGGTGTTTAGGATGTTCCGGGTTGCGGTTTAGAGTGTGAAATGCCTGGGGTTTTGGGGTTTAGGTTTGAGGGTTTGACGGTTTAGGTTTCAGGAAAAGCGGTTTAGGGTTTAGAGTCTAGGGTTTTGAGGTTCCGGGTTTGAGGTTTAGGGTTTGAGTTTTTTAGGGATTAGGGTTTCGGGCATAGGTGTCCTTTTTGGTTGTTTTGGTCGAAAGATAGATGGCCCTGGTGTACCTGATGGTGTAATCATCTACCAGGACCATCTATTTCCAACCTAAAAGGACGCCTGTGGTTTCGGGTTTGTAGGGCTTCAGATGTCGAGTTGATCGGACCTTACTTTGGTGTTGGCGCCCTGCCAGGCGACTTTTGGCCGAGGTTTTTTGCGCACGGCCTCAGTGGGTTTGGCCCAATGGCCGCTTTTTTTCTTTTTCTTCTTTGTTGGTTTTTCTGCGCTATTTTCTGGGTGGCTCCCGGCCATCCGGTCCTTAGCTTTTCAGCTGTTTTAGCGTTTAGTGGGGGGTTCCAGTTGACTCACAAGTTAAACTTTCTGGGGATCTGAGGTTAGCCCGGTTTTGATTCAAGGGGTAACTTCCCCGGAGATCCGCATCTCAGAAGACTTGCAAAGCAACCAGCGGATTTGCTCGGCGTGCCCGAAAGGAGTGGTGCGAACCAAACCTCAAGGGGCCGTTGCCCAAAGACAGGCCCGAAAGCGGCTTTTCCCCAGCTGGGCCCCGAGAATCCCTGCGTTTTCGGGTAAAGGGAAGGTTTGTCTGAGGGAAGTCCATGGGTTCGCTTCAGCTTCCCGTTAAACCATCTCAATGGTGCCCTCAAAAAACAACCACACCCATACCCATGTTGTTTGCAGTCGTGCTTGGGCCATCTTCTTGCCAGGTGTTGCTTACGCAATTTGATGACCTTATCCCAGTGGCTCAGTGACTTCCGCTGTCCGCCCTTTCTACCAGGGACACGGCAAACATACATGCACCCCGAAAAGTGTAGGATTCTTTCTGCCCCCACTCCAACCGGTTTCGTTTGTTTGCGGTTTGGCAACATGGGCATGTAGTTGTCCTTTTGGTTTCCCTTCACGCTACCCTGGCAAAGGGTACCCTCAAAAAATACGCAACCACATAGAGTTATCCAGATTTCGCCGAGGTTCCGGCCCGACGCCGTCGCCGTGCGTTGACTCAAGGCACTTAGAGTGACAAGAGGCAGAGACTCGTTCCCGAACGCTGCAGCATCCTCGAGTTTGGCCACGACCTCGCCCAAACAGGGAAAAGCGAAAGCTTTTGAAAAGGACCAAGGTTGAAACTAGAGAAACCCACTACTAGAACTTTGAAGGGATTTACCTTTTTGGGTTTGCCCTTTTTGTCTTGCTCTTTTGGAGAAGCCCTATTACAAATAATCGACGCCAAAGCAGTTTCACAAAGCCTGGATGTTTTCTTTGGCCTCAGGCCGCCGTAGGTGTTTTCTGATGGGCTTCCTTTTGCAAACGCCACGTGTTTGGCTCCAAATTTGGGAACTTGCACCCCCGTGTTGAAAGCCTAGCTATTATTGTTATTGTAATAGTGAGTCAATATATATATATATATATAGAGATCAATGTTCCCATTGGCCCACCTTCTCCGGTCCTTGCACGCCGATCTCGCGCGCGCGCGCGCGCGTTCTTTTTTTTCTTCCTCCCACCGCGCCTCGCTCGCGTGCCGCATGGCGGCGGCGGCCCTGACTGGGTCCGTGGGTTCCGATGCGGCGGGTCAGCGTGAGGCTGCCGAGCGGCCAGCTGCGGCCGGTGCAGCTGGAGAAGGAGAAGCCGCCCGGGGCCAAGCGAAGCGGCAAGCGAAGATCTGGATCACGTGCTAAGTACTTAGCCGATAGCTGTTCTAAGATGGATGTGTTTTAGTGTTTTGTGTCATTCCGTTGATCCGTTTTTAGTGGGTGCCCTGAATATAGCCGATGGCTGGTTGTTTTCAAACCAAAGGGAAACCTAAAGGAGATGAATGATATTTCGTACTTTTGATTTTTTTTCCAGACCTCGTCTTGACAGGACTCAGATCACAGTCACTCGCTTCCCCAGTCAGTGGACTTGAACAACCAGTCTCGCAAGCAGTGAGTTCTCGGGACGGGGAGAGTAGATCGCACTACTCCCCCCGCAACCAAACTATACGTTTAGTTTCCTTAGTTCTGTTCGAAGATAAAGTTCCGAGTTTATTTATGTCTGATGTGTAGGTTTGTTTTCCGGAAGAGATCTCTCCATATTCTAAGGGAACTTGTTCGATTCTGAGCCCATCTTGAAGCAGACATCCACGATTAATCACGGGCTAGAAATCCTGAACTCCCACTAGCAGGCAGAAAGCCAAGAAATGCAAGGTTTGGCTTTCTCAAAGGGAGTGCCATACAAATCAGTGCTGCTTTGCCCTTGAGCGAGGAGTCAACGTCGTCCCCCAGACTGTTCCGAAGTCAACGTTAATGTGAATTATTGATGCTGATCGCAGTAATCCGCTTCCTTTTTTGGTCTCCAATCAACTCCCGTGTCACTCACTTGCCGCAAGAAATGTGTGGCTCACAGTAGCTTTTGGGCCATTGGAAGATGAGGCTCACATATTCAAATCCCAACAGGCCGACAGTCTCAGCAATGCGGTGTGCATTCGTTTTTTTTTTTTTTTAATAGCAAATCACTTGCCAAAGATGTCCCCAGTTTCTGCGGGTCCAAATTACTGTGTTTTTTTTTAGCCCTTGGATTGGTCAATCCAGTTCTCAGCGAAAGGTGCCCTCCAAGTGCGGGTGGGGTTTTTGGGGAACTTGCGAGGCTTCAGGAGCAGCTCGAGAAGATCTGCCGGCTGAACAACGTGAGCTACGATGAGGATGAGAACTTTAAAGTCCTCGCCGTTGGGACTTCAAGACCTGGCCGGACAAAATCTGTTCACTGGGGCCGGACAAAATCTGTTGCTGGGGGGGGGAAGCTGTTGGCTGAGGGGAGGTCAAAAGGGAAAATGTTGACTGGGGGAGGGGTAGGTTTAAAGGGAAAGCAGGAATGTCAGGGCATTGAATCGTCAGTTTACATATTTGGTGAGGATGTCATTTTGGGGCAGAAGTAGAGGTAGCGCGAGCCCAAGAGGGCCTCACCAAGGAAATGCAGTCCCATCCACCAGAAATCTGCAAAGGCGTGGAGGGTCTTAGGAAACTAGAGAATATGCAGGGAAGAGGGATCTCGGGTCAAATACTGTGGAGTACGGTGGATGGACGAAATCCATTTCGCACCACCTAGGAAACCCTGGAATGATTCGATTCCCCTGTAACTGCCAACAAACAAGCGGTTACCCGTGGTTTCAAAGTGGCGCGAAGGGATTTCGCAGCCATCCACGCGATTTCGCAACCTGGTTCTCCATGGTAAATAAATACCACCTGTTTTAGTAGAGGGTCGAAAAAGATGGTATTTGGAGTAGAGGGTATGTTTCGGGGCGAGCCACCTAGGTCGTGAAGTGCTGGCTGGCCGGCCTGGAGTTCCGGGTGGTCTTGGGCAGCGAATCCGACTTCGAAGCCCTGCCGAGGCCGCCACAGAAGGTTGGCCATACTGTAGGAGGTGGTGGGGGGTTCCTCAGAAGGGATCCTCCCCAAAATAGGAACAGAACCAAAAAGCCCTATGCACCTAAACACATGCCAACAGTGAAGGGGTGTAGCAAAGCCAGTCGACTTGGGAGTTGTTGTTTTAATGCATTCGGACACGCCCAAAATGGAAGTTGTTCGACTTTTCCTGTTGGTTTCTCTTTAAAAACCCATCTTAAACAGCTGTACTATCTCCTAAAGAAGACGCGGCACCCATTTGTTCTTTGATTGCTATTGGCTTGACAGGACAGCCATTTGATGTGGGTCGTTTGGGCTCCAACTGTTTGGGGTTCGGCTGGTTGGAGAGCAGCCTATTTGGGTTCCAGCTCATAGCCTGAGTCCTGTTCGGGGCATGACGGGTGGATGCCAGAAAGGCACCTCGCAGCCAGTGCCACTTCAGATATATCAAGAGCCCAGGATGACATCCATTTTCTGAAATGAATATGTTTTTTATTTTCCCCAGTTGGTTTTTAGAGGGAATATATCACTACTGTTTATATATGTATATAATATGTATATATATATATGTATACATATACATAGTGTTTTCAGTGGGCTTAAGCAGATGGAAGATGAAAGCTCTGGTGGATTCAGGACGTTCAACTTGGGGCCTCAAGATGCCATGGGAAAGTGCAATCGACGGGAGAGCGTTTTGCAACGTGCTGGTGCGATAGGTAGGGAATGACCGAGCCTGGGTTTTGGGAATGAACCTAGGGATTCCCTTAAAGGCAACCACAAGGGATGGTTAGATTCCGTGCTGAGAACCAACAAGTTATCCGGATTTGTTGAAGACTGAGAGTCTCAACCACTTGGAAGCGTTGTCATTTTTTAACAGGAACGCAATGGAACGCATCGTGTTTGTATGTTTGACTGAAGTAAGATGTCCCTCCGACAACAAGCAACCAACAACACGATTCTTCAAATCACGAGCACAGGGAACACTGGCGAAAGACTGGTTCAACACCGTAGAACACTGAACACTTGGGAATTGAATCCTGAAGGTTCAATGAGGGAAACATCGTATTCCTGCCCGGGCCCCAAACGCCGCGTTTCTTTGCAACACATGAATGCAATCGTGCTTCTTGGAAAGTGTTTGCAGGTGCGCAAAGGTTCCATGTGGGGGTGGGGCTACAAATCTTCAGCCTTTTGCAAGGAGAACCACGTACCACCTCTGCCATGGCATCTCGACTGCACTTGGGGGGGAAGGGATTCCTTGATCTTTTTCGGACCCTGTATTCAGAGTGTCTTCCGTTGCTACCCTTTTCGTTTCAACAGGATGATGAGGCAGGACCTACTTTTGGGTTTTGGGTCTTCCAAGGATTCGGGCCACCACAAAGAGCACAAGAGGCTTCGCCCACACTTCTGGCGACCTTTCTGATTGGGGGGGGGGGAACTTCTGCTTGCTGAAATAAGTATTAGTTTGTCTTCCCTGTTTGGTTTACGGAATATGTCACTACTGGACAAATTTTCTCATTCTTTCCCAAGGGGCGAAAAAGGAAACGGACCCATGCCCCGTGATTCCTTCATTCAGGTTCGGTGAAAATCGTTTGCTTCTCGAGAGGTTCATGGCCTGAATGTATCCCACTTTGTTATCTCCCTGTAGGTAGCCAAGGGGGAGTTCCTGCCTTGGGAAACCAAAGTTTGGGTTGTGGGAACAAAGGTCTTTGTTCCCCCCACTTCTGTGATACCAGGAAATCTCGTCTTCAAGGCCCCCAGCGAACGGTGCCCTTCTTTTAAGCCCCTTTTTTGGTTTGGAACCTTCCCCTAGTAAAATAGACCAACAAGAAAACAAATCGGGTACCCACTTAGTCTAACCTCCCTAATTACTGGAGGGCCTTTTCCTTTAAACAGAGAATTCATATTGGTCGTTGGGAAGGCCTCGCAGGGGTACTGTGGATGGTTGCGAAATCAATAAAGAAATCGCAGCACTTAAAATTGGGCTCCTGAAAAGATGTGACCATTTTGCCACCATCCATTTGAAGCATGGCTGGCTTTTTCAACACCGAAATCCAAGTTGGAAACCACCATTGACAGGGCAATGTTCAGGTGTTTCATGTAAGGATCCCTGTTAAAGGACACCATGGTTTGTAGGGGTGATTCGCTCAATCCCTGCCTATCGCACCAAGTTTTGCGTGATGTCAAGCCCTGAAAGGAGGTGGCGAAATCCAGAAATCGCATCACTTTGAAGCCATAGTTGGATCCATTGTTTGTTGGTATTCACAGGGCAATCATCTGAAACCAGGGTTTCTTGGGTGCTGCAAAATGGATTTTGTCCATTCACAGTATCACAGAAGTCGGGAATTCCCGCAACCCTGAACCAAAGGGAAGCTGGCAGGTGGCCTGCTGTGTAGCGAGCCCACTGATTTGGGGAAGAGGGGCGCGGGGCGCAACAGTCTCACCCGTGCAGGCGCATTCCTGCGGGATTCCTGTAGTTCCAGTTGGGGAACTAGAGTAGTTTGCCCATATTTTATAATGTCCACCCCTGATTAATGCCCCTTCAGTTATTGGACAGTCATTGATCAGGGATCCCTCACGTCAGAGTGTGGACTTATTCTTTTCAATGCAGACCATTCTTACCTGGATCCGCTTTGTACCCCTCTAGCAACCCCCCCACTCCCCCCTACTCCCCTACTCCCCCCTACTCCCCCCTACTCCCCCCTGCTACCCCCCACTCCCCACACTAGGGGAGGCTTAAGGGAGGGGGGCTTAAGGGGGTGTCGGGGGGGGGAGGGCGGGACCTTCGCGGGACCTTAAGGGGGGGCTTAAGGGGGGGGCTTAAGCCCTCCCTTCGCCGAAGGTGGTGGGCCCAGTCTCCCGTCAGCCCATAAAAGTGCTGACTAGAATAAGAGCTTTTCAGCCCGCTGCCGGGCCCAATGGGGTCGACGACTATGTACAGAATGCTGTGGGCCCCCCCCGCTTCTTGGTAGACCTCGGATTTTGGTCAGCACATGCTGCGATCACATCGCAAACTGAACATTCCAGCATGATTCACTCATAGGCGCTGCGTGCGGCCTGTGCTCTGGGCACGGATGAAAGGTCAGGTTCCAGCGGCGCACTTGATGGTCACCGCCTGGCGTGGCATATAGCTATGAATCTCAAGGATCTCACGGCCTTGCGGGAGCGGGTGGAGGCGCGTGGGGCTCACAAGATGTTTGTTTTGCTTGGGCTCCAGGTGTGTGAGAAGGAAAGGAAGGAAGAGAAGGAAAGGCAGGAAGAGAAAGAAAGGAGGAAAAGAAGGAGAAGAAGGGAGATTCGGAGGCTCTGATGCGTTTTTTTGTTTGCCTGGCAACATTGAACAAGGCCTCTACGAAGCGGAAAAGTCCCACAGTGCCCGTCCAGGCCTCCGCAGAAAAACCTCTGCATATTCTTTTGGCTGAGTGAATTTGGACTCCTCGAGGTCGGTGAATGTGGGAGGATCAACTGGGCCCTGGTGACAATCATAGCCCTTGCCGATCTGTTTTTTGTGGTTCCCCGAGTTCGGGCGACACCTGCATTCCTTACAAGGATCCAGTGCTAAATCTTCTTGCCAGCCCCGTTGCGCGCAGGTGCCGGAGCTGCCTCCTCCCCGCAGGTGCGCAGTTTGCGTGCTGACATCTAGCTGCATCCCTATCGGCCCTTTTTTCCTGCAGGTCCAGAACGAGCGCGGTAGGACTAGCCTTGACCATGCGTCCTGCGCCGTGAGAAATAGCGCCGCAGCATTGCGTGGCACGCAGGCATGTAGACCTGACGCTGCTCGAAGCGCCCCCCAGAACTGGTGGAAGCGCCCCCCAAACGCGCTGGTGGAAGCGCCCCCCCAAAACTTGCTGGTAAAGCACCTCGCAGCAAAATGAACACTGTTCGAATTTACGTACGGTGTTCGGTGATGTGATGCAGCATGATGCTTGTTGTTCATGATCGCGATGCAGCCATTGGGAGCGTGTTGAGCTGGGGTCTGGGGCGACGCGGGGAGCCGCCCGCATTGCAGAGGCAATCGGGTTGTGGATGCTGAGAACCTTTCCTGCCCCTTCCTCCCCCAAAGCTTGCGGCAGGTTTAGTTTTCGAGCATGCGCAGAGACCACATCTGCGGGGTTTTCCTGGAGTTGGAGATGCAGGGCGAGGCCTGGAGGTATTCCAGAAGATCGCTCAGTGGGCCCACCCGCCAAATGCTGAGGCCGTGAATCCGGAGGCCATTTGCACAAGGCTCGATGGGCTCACTGGCAAGATCCCCCATCTCTGGTTCTTCCAACTGGTGCACAACAACAGCTTTACTCCCCGCGCGACCGGGCGTTATGGCATCCGGACCATGAAGGTCCTCGGAGCCGCTCTTGGGGTTGTTGGACTCATGTAGGCACATGCGGAACTCGCGGTGTGTGTCAGAGGCAAGCGGGGCTCATGTAACATGTTCGCCCCCACTCCCCCCCACTCCCCCCCACTCCCCCCCCCTACTCCCCCCTGCTCCCCCCTACTACTCCCCCCTACCCCCCCCCCCGCGCCCGGAGGTAACGAGGTCGCCAAGCTGCAGCTGCAGCACATCGCCGAGGCGGAGGACTTCCGCATGCTGCGAGTGACGCTGCAGGTGCTGCTGCAGTCCATCAAGGACCCCACTGTGTCGACCGCGTGACGCGTTCCAAAAAAGGGAGCCAGCCCGCTGTTTGGTTGGTGTTAAGGGGAAAGCAAACAAGGACTCCAAGCTTTCGCTCAAAAACTTCTGAATATGTTGTTTAGTTTCCCCCTGTTGGTTATACAGGGAATTTATCACTACTGGATGCTTTTTCTCCCGGGGCATAGTAGTCAATTTTAGTGGTTGGATTGGGATGTTCACCTGGGGGTACGGGCTTTGACCCATGGCCATGTATCAAAAGCCCAGGATGACATCCATTTGCTTAAATGAATAATTGTTATATTTGCCCCTGTTGGTTTTAAAGAGAATCGACATCACTACTGGATTTTGTTGTTGTTTTTTCTCCCCGGGGTCTTAACCACATGGAAGAAATTGGGCGCCGGCCCGCGTTCTGATTGGCGTTTTGGGGGGAAACCAACAGGACGCCAAAGCCCAGTTTTGGGCTCCTTGATGAATTTGGAGAAACACCGCACATCTGCATTTTAACAGTCCTTCGCTATTTTAGGATTGACTGAATCAACAGAATCTGATAAGACTTTGGCAGTTGAGGTTTGGGGTTTTAATCCCCACAAGTATACAGTACTGGGTGGCAAATTGGGGTCAACTGTAGGTAGATGGTGACACTATCATCTTCCATTTGCTGAAATGAATTCATTTTTCTGTTTTCCCTGTTGGTTTGAAAGAACATCTATGACTACAGGGAATGTAGTGGTGGGGCTTAAGCAAATGGAGTTGTCCTATCCAGCTACTTGGCTCAGCCTTGTCTCATGAATTGACAGCCCGGGATAGAAAGAAATCGCACCACTTCAACTTGACGGCTGTTGGGTTGGGTCTTTAGACTTTAACTTTTTGGGAAATCAAGGGGTTTCCACTAAACCCACAAAAGGTAACTTTTTGCAGAGGGGTCATCCGCAACCAAGTTAAAGGACACCATGGTTTGTAGGGGTGCTTCGCTCATTCCCTGCCTATCGCACCTTTTTTTTGTGTGATGTCAAGCCCAGGAGGTGCTGTGGATGGTGGTGACATCCAGAAATCGCACTTTGAAACCCATGGTTGAAACCATAACGTTTGTTGGGTAATGTTAACCCCGGATTAATAAACCCCTGGTTGATTAATAGGGGGGTGTCCCCTTTTAGTGGGGATTCATCACTTTTGGAGGGAACACCCCCCTAATAGTGGGACGGGTTATTCATCCTGGGTCAACATTATTTACGTTGGGGAATCGACTCAGGGTTTCTTAGCTGCGAAATGGATTTCGTCCAGCCGCAGAATTTCACGGCCTCACGGCTTACTCCGCGAGGGTTCGAGGGTTTTTTTCCACGGTTCGAACGGGCAAGCCAGCCGTTCAGCCGTTGCTGCTTGCCAAAGGAGGTTGTTTTTCCAGTTCTTCCCATTGCCTCACGAGTCAATCAGGATTTCCGTGATCGTTTATTGCGGTTACCTACTACCCTCCCACCAATTCACACGGAACCTGACAGGGACCCGGTCCTTTCAAAAAGCAGCATGGTTCAAACTTCAGACCCCCCCGAAACGTCAGGTTCCATGTGACAAGGGGAGGGGAGCAGATTTTGTAGAAGTTCAGCTGGTTTTTGTTTTGGTTCCCTTTTACCCAGGCCCCGAGGATTCGCACCGGACCGGCAGGACAATGCCAGCTTTGCGGAAGAAGTGATCAACCAGAGGGGCATCGAGCAGCTGTTGGAGGCTGAGAATGCGTGTGGGTTGGGTCACCACTTTTCGACTGGCGGTTCTCCTTTTGGTGATCCTTTGCAACCGCCAAACCATGTTGGTCCCAACCCAAAAAAAGACGAGCCACCCACATGGTGTTGTTTCCTTTTGGTTTTTTCAGGGACATGTTGGGGGCACCCGATCTTAAGACACCCATTTGGAGTGGCTCTCATTGAGTCGGCGCCCAACCAGGCCTAGCTCGCTGCAAAAAGGGAAGCCCCTTCAAAGTAGCAAGGTCATAGGGATGGGAAATCATATCCCCATTGTGGTTTTAGCAGGTATTTTGTCATGAGCAAGCCTTTTGCGCGCTCGTTGCTCCTTGCGCATTCCTTGCGCACTCCTTGCGCACTCCTTCGCGGAATCTCCGCGCGGAATCTCGAAGGGGTCAGCGTCGAGCAACTCGGTGTCTTTTTGGGTTGTTCGCATACTGCACTGCAAGACAGAGAGAAAGAGAACGAACAAGAGAGAAGGCAAAAGAAAGAGAAAGAGAAACATGAAAACAAAGAGAAAGAGAAAGAGAAAGGGGAGGAGAAAGAGAAGGCAAAAGGGAAGGAGCAAAAGGGAAGGAGCAAAAGGGAAGGAGCAGAAAGATAAAGAGAAAGAGAGAAAAGGCAAGGGAAAGGGAAAGGAGAGAGAGGGAATAGAGAGACAGGGGGAAAGGAACCTGCCGCACTCCTTCTCCTTGTTAAACTTCCGCTTCCACGCTTTGCCGGACTTGCTTTGTACTTCATACAGTCCAATTTTTCTGAACGTTTGGCACAGCCACTTCAACCCAGGCGTGGTTGAGTCCCCCAAAAGGGAAAGAAACCTGGGTTGAAGTCTACCCAAAACGTGGTCAAAAGAAGACCCTGCACTGTCAATGCAGGCCTTGCGTGAACTTCGAGTGACAAACGGGGGTTGATCAAAAGGTCCGTGAAAATTACATGGGATGACCATTGGGTCCTATTGAGAAAAGTTAAGCATGGTCATTTGGGGGCCAGGAATATTGATCAAACCCCAAATGCTGCCATTTCCCTGTGGGTAGCGGGGATGCCGCTGAAATTACAAAGTTGGGCTATCAACTTTCACCCAACCGTGTCAAAAATAGGTACCCGTTTTGTGATTTTGGGTAAATGAAACCAAAGACAAAAACCTGCGATTTCCTGGTGGTTTCATTTTGACCCATACCCAGCGCGGAGAGCCCTGGCGATTCCACCACCTTGGGGTAGACTTCAACCCAGGTTTTTTTTGCCCCTTTTGGGGGAGATATGAACCACCCCTGGGAAGACGTCTGCCTTCTCTCCAAAACCGGCGGAAGCGCCTGGACGCGCCTCGCGACTCGCGGCGCGCGGCGCGCCAGGCGCTCTGCGTGTGGACGCCGTCGGAGGACTCGGAGCTGAGCCCAGCGCCCAACGAGGGCGAGGTCTGGGAGCTCTGCGCGCTGGCGGTGGCGGAGCTGCTGCACTACGCGGCGCGGCCGTTGAGGGCCGGGGGGGGGGTGGAGGGAGGAGTCCCAGCGGTTTCAAGAAGAGCATTCCTTTGGTGGTCTTGGTTTGCTAGGTGTCTTTTCTTTTTACCCGACTTTTTGGTTAGGAGGGTTCCCCTACAAAAATAGACTACGGAAAAATATTCTAACCTCTACTGGAGGACCTAGTGGTTCTAAATACCCCTCCCAGCCTTTCGTTTCGGGGAATTCTGGTTTGGACCATGTTGATGTTGTTATTAACGTGGAGCCCTTGTCAGATTCCATGTTAATGGTGGGAGGGTATCACCTTTCGGTTCACCCAGGGAGTTGTCCTTGTGATGATTGAAGAGGACATATTTGGGGAAACTCATTTGACGAGAAAACCCCTTCCCCCAAGGAACTCTTAGTTCGCGGTTTTTCGCCTCGCGGTTGGAAGTAGACAGGGCAACCGTCCCGCTTTGTTAGTCGCTGGTGGCGTCGGCCAACTCTTGACTTAAAGCCGCCGATGCGAATGGGAGGTGTCATGAAAATTTCGCCTGCAGGTTTGTCTGGATATATTTGCCAGGGGCGATCTCCTGAACTGGGTTTTCAGCTATGCCTAAGCCAAGGTTTGGGGGGAGCCAACAGGCCTTTTTGTTGGCCAACTCAGGCCTCTCTGGCCCTAGGTGGGGTGGGGTGGAGCTGCAAGGTCGTGAAAAATTTCCTGAAGTGGCCGTACTCAGTTGGACCGCCCCAGACATGCCCAAACAAAAAGGCGCAAGGGATGTATCCCTGAGGGTGTAAGTGCACCTCAGATTCGCCGGACTCGGAAACCATGGAACATGTGTTTTTTTTTGTGTTGCATGCCAATAATCTACATGGGTCAAAATTTAACCACCAGGAGACCGCAGGTTTTAGTCCTTGGTTCCATTTACCAGGGTTCCGTTTTGGTACTGCCTTGTTTGCTGAGCCACAGCCATATTGGTACATGTACTGGGCCACATACTTTGCTATCCCTTAGCAGTCCTTGAAGACCTGGATTCTGATTGACCTGGTTCTTGATTGTGTGGAACCCCAACAAAGGGTCCTCCCAAAGAAATGTCATGTCGGGTTGGCTGGGTTGTTGGTTAGGTTGGATGGGTTGCCTTGATTGGGCTGTTGTTTGGGTTGTGTTATTGTGTTGTATTGCATGGCTTCCTTGATCTTCGGCGATGTCATTCCTTCGCAATATTTGGAGGGGCTGCCCTTTCAACTCATCCAAACCACCAAAGGCAATCCCTTTGCTGCCCGTGGAATGCCACAAATTTGGCGTTTCGGCTTGCCTTTACCCACCAAAGGAGCGCGAATCGTTTCCCATGGAGCTGGAGGTTGGTCGTTTCGGCTCAGGAACTCGCAGAGAAGGTGTGCCAGGAGAACGAGAGCGAGATCTTTCGCCAGGAGGGGCACGGGGCAAGAGGGTGCCCATACCCCCAACAACTCACCGTGTGTGTCGAGGCCCAGGGGTCAGTAAGCCCACACATACATATGAATGTATGTACTTAGATATGTATGTATATATATATAGAGATACAAGTATATTGTGTCTTTATATATATATATAGACAGTACAGAGTCTTATATAGCCGCGTTTGTCACCCAACGCGGCTAATAGGGCGTCCTGTTTCCCCGGTCGGTACAGGGATCCCTCAATTGGTTGTCCTTTTCGTTACTTCACACGGAGCCACGTCATAGGAACCCACCCACAAGGTTTTTCCTTTGACCGATTTTAGAGGCCGCATCTGTGTGTATATATATATATACATACACATACACATATGCACACATGTATTTGTATCTAGACATAAATAACAAAATAAATATAAGTATGTATATATATATATATGTACCAGTCCCTGGGCCACGTACCCCCCCCCCCCCCCAATGGTATGGTCCCCCCATTCCCCCGCATCATCCGCATCTTGGGGATGATGCTGGCAATGCTGGGGATGCTGTCCAGTACCGTGCGAGCCCTGCAGCTTCGGTCCCAGACCCCCTTTCACCCCGTGAACCAACACCCCCGCACCTCTCGCAACATCCTACCCTAAACCAAACCACCCTGCAACCCCTCCTTAACCCCAACCCTAAGCCTAAATCAACCCAAAACCCAAACCCACCCGAAACCCACCGCAAACCAACCCTGAACCAACCCTGAACCAACCCTAAACCAACCCACCAAGCCTAAACCAACTCCGAACCACACCCCAACCCAACCACCCAACCACCCCACCACCCCACCACCCCACCACCCCACCACCCCACCACCCCACCACCCCACCACCCCACCCCACAGGGGGGGGGGGGGGGGGGGGGGGGGTCCACGGCCTGGAACATATATATATATATATATATACAAGATAAAGAACTTTCAAAGCAAGCCGCAGCTTTTTGCCGCTTGGGCCCTTATGGCTCAGTCGCAGTCCACGCTTCCAGGAGATTTTCGAGGTCTTGGTGCGCTTGATGCTGGGGGGTGCAAAGGCTAGCTGGGCTCTCACGCTGCTGCTGCGCCTTGATGGATCCCTCAATCTGTCGATTCGAGTGGGGAGATCAGGGAGGGGGGGGAGGGCCGAATGGAATGTGGGTTGGTTTTCTTGTGCGGGGTTCGTGTACCATAGCAGCTCAAAGACCAGGTATTGTTCTGTGGCCTTACTATTATGATGGTTCTCCCGCATTGGTTTCTTAAAGGTTCAGGACCTAAACCCCATGAAGAGTAGAGCCACTTGGGTGTGTGTGTGTGTGTGTGTTCTTGTGGGTACCCATTTAAAGGGGAATCAAAAGGAAGACCTGAGTCCCCCTGCGCACACCTCCGGCATCAAACAGGGCAAAAGGCGTCCGTTCAAGGCCCCATCCTGCCAGAAAAAGCCCCCTTCAATGGGTCCAACGATTGAAACCTTCCAGAGGTCCAAAAAGCCCCCATGAATCCATGGGTCCAATGATGCTTGGGGATCGGGGAGCGGACGTTGGATGGTTCTAAGCCATTTTTTTGTCATGATTTGGGCCCTTGTATTGCCCTATATAAAGGAGGAGCTTGCAAACTAGACCCCGAGTCTGGCCAGGATTTTGATCCCATTGTCCATTTTAGTAGGTGGTTCTGCTATTTCTTTTCTGGGGTTGTGGAAAATGGGGAATTTAGGGCCAGTTTCTGCGATACCAAGGAAACAACCTTTAACGTGACAATGAGTCATAGGGCATCGAATGCCACTTGGGCTTCGCAGCAGCCATGGCTCTGGAACGTGGGAGCGCTGCATTTGTTTTGCTTTCTGAAAACAGCTTGAGCCTTGCCCGGAAATGGCCATTGCTCATAATGTATGCCGAGCCATTTTGGGGCGGAACACCCATGTAGCACCTATTTTGATGTTCACCAGGGGTTTCCCGGGTTTTGACCCACAGCCAAATGGACAACGAGAAGACGACTACCCGAAGCGCAGGTGCCAGGGCCCTCCATCATGCGAGGGCCGCGGACCAAATCCTCGGCCCGAGGAAAAAACGCCCAAAAAGAAGTGGGAGCCTTTTGGTGCTGCTTCTAGCCTCGTGTTTAGGCCACCTGGTTCCCTTTGGTTTGGTGGCTTAAAAGCCCAGAATTGCTGGCCCCAGGCTGACCTACCAGCCGGCGCCGGCCCTGCGCAGCCTGCATGGCGTGTGCGGCAATGGGGGGTATCAGGCCCTGGTGATGGCGGCAGCAGGGGATGAGAACGTGCCGCGGCTAAGGCTTGGGTGGAGGTGAGGTGTTGCCTTTTTCTCCCAGGGTTTCACCCTCAATGAAAAAGAAGCAGAGACACAATTGAGATGATGACACTCCTCAGGCATATCAGCGTTACCGTTGTTTGAATGGTGGTTGGAGTCCACTGCGTAGGCAGGCAACTTGATTAACTCACTTCCTGGGTTCATGAACTTTAAACTTTTTGGGAAGACCATTTTAGTGGTAACTATAAAGTTTGAACTTTTTTTGGGCCATCCACTCAGCCAGTGAGTTAAAATTATAGCAACAGCAACATTGTTTGAGTGGTGGCTTTTAGATGTTGCCGCTCCTTAGGTAAACCACGGTGGTTATAACAACAGTCGCATTGGTTGTTAGAAATCACAGGCAATCAGCATTCGTTGTTGGCAATCCAAGACTTGCTGGCTACCTTCTCTTGCCAGTTCTGACTCAGCGGAAAATCCTTGCTGCTGGTGGCCGAACTTGGACCAACTTGTCGCCACATGGACAGCCCAGGATTCGATCCACCATTAAAACAATTTTACTGGTGCTGCAACCTTGTTGCTTACCTAAGGGCCAGTCCTTACCCTCTCGTTACAACCAAGTGGCTACCGTTATGAGGTAGTCTAGGGGCTGATTCCTTATCCATTCTTTTCAGCCATCGTTCTTTTCAAAAACCGATCGCCATTTCCCCAGGGTTTTTTGTGGTTTTCTAGAAAGATTCGGATCCCTGGAAAGAATGGAAATGGAAGTTACCCCTAGAGTGACAGACCAAAATTATACATTCCCGAAAGGGGCCATTGGAATTGTACTCAGCCCCACCCCGCCGCGCTCCGGTGCCCCGATTTCCGAGTTGATCTCTTCTCCCCGCTTTGTGAGGGGACATAGGGAGACTTGAAGGAGAAGGGTATTAGCAAGTTCTTTGCGTTTGGAAAAGGGATTTGGGGACATAGGGAGACTTGAAGGAGAAGGGTTGCATGGAAAAAGGGATTTGGAAGCGACAAGTTCTTTTCCCTGACCCCAGGAGTGGCTGACTGGGGCTGCCACGGTCCTCTTGAAGGCGTGTCGGCGCTGAGTTTGGCGCAGTCACAGTCAAAACCTGGCTCGACCGGCTCGACTTCTTTACCTGGGTCTGTCGTTTTGAGGGTACCCTATTTTGGAAGGGGGGTCAGAATCCTAAAAACTGCTAGGCCAACATGATTTTGGGTAGACCATTTTGATTTGAATCAGTTGGCGACCACTCCCCGCCCCTTTTTGGTAGAAAAGGCCAAGCAGGGAAAAGGACTTGACCCCCTAAACGTGGTTGCACGTTTTTGCACGACCGAGCATGAAGCCTGACCATTGCTTCCCGCAAGAGTTTGCTTGAAGAGGCAATGTTTTAGTGGGTGAAACCTGATCCCACTTGCAGGAGGTCCTACGGGAACTACACCAGGTCCTCCAGTAGAGAGGTTCGAATAAGGGTACCCATTTTTTCTGTAGTCGAGTTTAGTAGGGGAACCCTCCCAACCAAGAAAGGGTAGAGAAGGGCACTACTGGGGGACCTAGTATAACACTCCGATTCGAGAGCTTCTACGCTTGGTCCCTAGATTTGCCATGGGTGTGACGCAGCTCGCGGACTTTGATTCATGCCTTCATCGCGCAAAGCAGGGCGCAGCCGGATTCCCGGGTGGCTTTGGCTTGCTGGAAGGAAATCCGAGCAACTGACTCAGGGTCCCTTAAAAGACACATGTTGCCCACTTGAAACATGGCTTTTTCAATCCAACATAAAGGGAGGCAATGTTCAGGTGTATAATGTAAGGATCCCTGCGACTTGTTCGGAACGGACTCTCCTTTTGGGTTGAAAAAGAGAACTTCTGGCAGTATTTCGGCCTGTGAATGGGTTCCACTTGTGCAAGGGTTGCGGCGGGTCCAGGCGCGAAGGTTGACCTCTTATTTTGGAAGGATCAACCATTGCATGATGCAGTTTGGCGGCTTCCAGCCTGAATGCTACACATGTTTTCCTCTGAACCATTTTGACAGGAGTTCCTCCGCCTTTTTGGCAAGCCCCCTTTTTTTTACCGGGAACTGTGCTTGGCACAGGAGCAAAGATTCAGGGGAAAACCAAGGCCAAGGTCCCCCAACAAAACCAAACCACGTATTGTCCCCTGTATCACTTGCTTGAACTTTTTCTCTCCCCGGTTTTTTCCAGTGACACCCATTCTTGTTGGCATATTCCTGAGGCACCGCATTCTTCATGTCTTGAGCTTCCCGCCTGGCCTTTTGTCCGTCTCCAGGTGCTGCGTGCAGCGCTTCAGGAGCTGCCCCGAGACCCGCTGGCGCAGCAGGTGGAGCAGGCCCTGGAGGCGCGAGCGGCCGAGCGGCCAAGCCGCTCGACGCGGGGGAAAAAAGCATTGGCGCCACCGGGGTTCAAGCTTTGGCGTCGTCTTGCTCATGTTGTTGGGTTCTCTTCGACCTTTGAAACACGGACCAAGGAGTCTAGGACAGGCGACAACGAGAGGAGCGGCACCCGAAGAATCCTCCCGGCTCCCGCCGCAAGGCCGTGGGGCTTGAGCTTTTTCCTTCTGGTTCACATGTTCATCAATGTTCCCTTAGAGGCCCCGAGTTTGGATCATGCAGCAACTTTCATGTCTAGTGGTTGACATATAATCTTTTTTTTGTGGTTTCCCAACCAATGGTCATCCTATGTAAAGGACCTTTTGACCAACCCCCATCATGTAGCTTGCTGATTCCCAGCGAATCGTCCGGCTCCTTAGACTTTTAGATGTTTTTAGTCGGTTTAGTAGTGGGGGGTCCATCTCACTAAACATTGAATGTTTGGCAGGGGATCTGGGGTAACCTTAGGATTGTTTTAGATTTACCGGTAACTCAAAGTGAAGCACGCAATAAATCGTATATATATATATATATATATATAATTCTAATCATGTTTACTCACAGTCAACGTCCAAGTTGATCAAATGTTGGTATATATTGACATTAGCTGGGGTAGATGGGTGTATCTCAAAATAGGGGACACCGATATGATCGGATTTCTCTGGTTTGCTATGAATGACATGCTGATATCACTATACTGTGGATGGACGACACCCAGCACTTTCGACCATCCACAGTTGGATGGCCGTCTACCTGGTAAGGATACCAACACTTGGTGGCTCCCAGCCATCCCCTTTGCTTTTTAGCCTTTTAGTGTTTAGTGGTAGTTTCCATTTGACCCACTAAAAGTTGAACTTTTAGCAGAGGATCTGAGGGCAGCCCAGAACACACTATGGTTTCTCGTAGTTTTAAAGTGCTGCGAGCGTCCGGCGGGTTTCGCGCATTTGAAAAGCCGTCAGGCTCTGGAATGCGGGCTTGCACCGCTGCCCCACGCCGCCCTGCAGCCGCTGCTGGAGGAGCTGATGAGCGGGTCCGCAAAAAAACCCGGTGGAAACCTGGAGGCATAGGTGTCCTTTTTAGGTGAGCCAGGTTAACAATAGATGGCACTGGTTTAGATGGGTTTTGTTCCATTTACCAGGGCCATCTACTTTTCCAAAAGGCCACCTATGCCTGGAGGTGGGTGCAACAGGGTGGCTTTTCATATGGAAAATGACAGGCACCCTCATGATACTGTGGATGGACGAAATCCTGCCACTTTGAAACCATGGGACACCATTGTTTGTCGGGATGTACAGAGGAATCATCATCCCAGGGTTTCTGAACGGTGGTGCAAGTGCAGGATTTCGCATCCATCCAAGGTATGTTATGGGTCGCGTGGGTAGCCTGCAAGAAGGGCTTCCATTTGGGGTCACGCCAACTTCCTTAGAGACACACTCCAGCTTCAGAGACTTCCGGCATGATCCTGGAGCCCCCCCCCGCCCCCCTCCGCATTGTCTCCATAGGCTCGTTCAGGCGGGGTTCCCGTCGTTGGGCGTGTCTTTTCTAGACCCACCCCCCAAATGGTTCTTGAAACCCTTTGGTTTCCCTTGAACCACAAGAAAGGCGTACCGACTCAAGAGAAGACGAGCCACCCACTTGCGCGGAGGGCCTCACCTTTTGGCACTTCGAGCCTGCCTGCGCTTTCCTCCGCCTTTCATCATGTTCTTTGGCTTGTTCGGCCTAGTCAGGCGGCCTTGCTGAACTCGTTGCAGATGATCCGTCAGTGCCCTTTTTGTGCTTGGTCGAATGGGAAACCAAAGTGACACCGTGTCCATGTTGTTTCTCCTTCTTTTTTTGGTGTTTGGGGGAGGGTCAGGTTGTTTGTTTGTTTTTGATTTCCTCACCAAAAACCTACCGTTTTGAGGGCGAGGTTGGCTATTCTGATTCCCTCATGTGAACTTTGGCATTTGGAGGGTCTCCTACAACTGGGTGTGTCGTTTTTTTCAGGGCGCCCCTCTTTTGTTGTGTTTAGAAGGAAACCTAGGAAACACGAAGCCATTTCGGGGGGCGGGGTGTGTCCGTGCCAGGGACGCTTCCATAGTTTTGGTTTGCAGCCCGGAAGCCTCCAAAACCAATACGCTGAAAGGCACGAGGCCGCAACATGGAGCCTAAGTGTCCACCATTTGTGTTTTCTGTTTCTTTCTTTCTTTCTTTCTTTCTTTCTTTCTTTCTTTCTTTCTTTCTTTCTTTGTTTGTTTGTTTGTTCTGTTTGTCTTCTTGTGTGTTTGTTTGTTTGTTCTGTTTGTCGTTTTGTTTGCTTGTTTGTTTGTTTGTTTGTTTGTTTGTTTTGTTTGTTTTGCTTGTTTTGTTTGTTCTGTTTGTCTTTTTGTTTGTTTGTTTGTTTGTTTGTTTTGTTTGTTTTGCTTGTTTTGTTTGTTCTGTTTGTCTTTTTGTTTGCTTGTTTGCTTGTTTGTTTGTTTGTTTGTTTGCTTGTTTGTTTGTTTTGTTTTGTTTTGTTTGTTCTGTTTGTCTTTTTGTTTGCTTGTTTGTGTGTTTGTTTTGATTGTTTTGATTGTTTTGTTTGTCTTTTTGTTTGCTTGTTTGTGTGTTTGTTTGTTTTTTGGTTTGTTTGTTTGTTCTGTTTGTCTTTTTGTTTGTCTGTTTGTTTGTGTGTTTGTTTGTTTGTTTGTTCCGTTTGTCTTTTTGTTTGCTTGTTTGTTTGTTTGTTTGTTTGTTTGTTTGTTTGTTTGTTTGTTTTGTTTGTTCAGTTTGTTTTTTTGTTTGCTTGTTTGTTTGTTTTGTTTGTTCTGTTTGTCTAATTTGTTTGCTTGTTTGTTTGTTTGTTTGTTTGTTTGTTTGTTTTGTTTTGTTTGTTTGTTTGTTTGTTTGTTTGTTTGTTTGTTTGTTTGTTTGCTTGTTTGTTTGTTCTGTTTGTCTTTTTGTTTGTCTGTTTGTTTGTTGGTTTGTTTGTTATTTTGTTTTGTTGCTTTCTTGCTTTCTTTCTTTTTTCTTTCTTTCTTTGGGGGGTGGTCCCAAAAAAGCCCCGCCCGCCACGGCTCCCACCCCACCTCTGCTTTTTTTTTTTTGGTCCCCAGTGGTCCCACTCGATCGCGAGGACCTGCTGGGCGCCTCCTTCCTCTGCCGCTGCGCGCAGCTCCAGCGCGCCGCTTTTGCGGAGGCCTCCAACCGCCTCGAGGCGCGCGCCTGGGGGGCGGTTGGGGGCGGTTGGGGGGGGGGCTTGGGCGGTTTTCTCGGGGGGTTTTCCGGGGGGGTCCCCTAACCCGCGAAAAACACGGGGGTTCCGGAGGGTGTCCTTTGGAGAACCCTGGCGGAAAAAGAGAAAAATCACATTGGGGGGTGGCCTCAAACAAAAGAGAAAGACAGAGCCCGAAAGGGATGGTGCTTTCTTTTGTTTTTCATTTTTGGGGGGTTGGCCTGTGTGGTTGGGGTTGGGTGAAAGGGAAATCCAAAGGAACACCGAAGCCATTTGGAGGTTTGCCCTAACAAAAAGACAGGCCCAAATTCCTTTCTCTTTGGTGGCTTTGGGTCCGGGCCCCTTCTCCTGTCACTGGACAGCTGGCAGTGTACCTTAGGCCAGTGCAATGGTGCTATGGCTCCATGTTGGCCATGTTTTAAGCTGTCCACTGGAGGACGGGTTTGTTGTGAGAGCCTTCTTTTTGGTGTTCCCCCCAAAAGTGATCCTGATCCCTTCAAAATTGCCCCGTTGAATCAACCAGAAGTTTTTTAATGCTGGGGCTGCCTTGTCGGGGTCTCTCTCCCCCTCCCTCGCGCGTCAAGTTGCGAGGGCCAAGCGAAGCACCAGGCCAACCAGGCAGGGAGGGGCTTTCCAAGGTCGGACTCGAGCGCAAACTCGTGGTGCTAAACTGTTCTTCCGGACCAGGGTGTGGGTCACAGATAACATATAAGTACCCAGAATGGAACCCTGGCAAATGGAAACAAAGATGAAAACCTGCGGTCCCCTGATGGTTGATTTTGACCCATAGCCGCCTATCTAGAGAGGTCTGGAATGGCTTGTGTAACGGTTCGGTGTTTGTACTGGCATGCTCGTCAAGTGTCTTTGCCCGATTTTCGGCATATGTGTTAAGGCAGATTTTGAGTTGGGCTGCAAAGAACGTTCAGTTTGATCTTTCATAGGGGGAAGTCCTTGGCAAAGCGCAACGGAGGCAGTGGCCAAAGATAACACGCAAACCACGAAAAGGTAGGCGAATCCGGGTTACTGGGATTCACTTTGCAGATATAAAGGGCCCTATCTTTCCTTGATTTGCATACAGCACATGGGGGTGTCCATTCTTGCTGTACCTCCGTACCTTTCAGGGATTCTTTCTGAAAGTCTGAAAGTTGCCAGGCAGGGATTTGGATGGTATGGTCTGGTCAAGAATCGGGGTCAAGCTGCAGAGAAACCTGGTCGTTTGGATTTGGGATACAACCAGCTTGTCAGCATGGGACTTTGAAGAATTGGCCAGGAGGTATGAGCTGGGGGCAACTCGCTGGACGTTTGGCCTTCAAAATCGCAGAGAAAGGGGGTTCCAACTACTGGAACCTGACAGAGGGGGGGGGGAGGTTCTGGAAGACAGTTTTCCTCTTAAGGTACATGTTGCTTCACGCATGTGATGTTAGACCAATGATACTGAGCACCCCACCCTTTTTCAACCATGAATATGTTCGTGCTTCATATTCTTCCCCTTGCACCGCTTCTATGACCACTGCTTGATTTTTTTAACCGATCCCTGCGCAGCGCGCAGCGGTTCTGGCCCCACAGTGTGTCTGTGAACCTGAAAATTCCGTGATTGTCCCGTCCAACCCCTTTGAAAAAATATGTTCGGGTCCATAGGTGTCCTTTTTGGTGGTTTTGGTCGAAAATAGATGGCGATTCCTGGTTTACCCGGTGGTTGAATCATCTACCAGGGCCATCTATTTGCCCCAAAAGGACACCTATGTTCGGGTATCCTTCTGTTTATGGTATAGTCCATAGATGGACGAACAATATGAGGCACGAACATACTTATGTTTGTTTTGGTGCACCCCAGTATGTTGGTTGGTGTACCCTGAATCACAGCTTGCGCGAAGCAACATATACCTTAAAGCAAATTTGTTTTTTTAGGACCCCCCCCCCTGTCAGGTTCCATGTTGATTGGAGGGAGGGTAGCATATTTCCAGTAGTGAAATCGATTCCCTATAAAAGCAACAGGAGAAAATACAAGCATGTTCATTTCAGAAAGTGGAGGTATAACTGGGTATAACATAGTTGCGTAGGTGTCCTTTTTGGTTAATTTGGCTGAAAAATAAGGGGCGACTCCTGGTTTACCTGGTGGTTTAATCAACTACCAGCGCCATCTATTTTCCAAAAAAGGAGTCCTACTGTGGATGGACGGAATCCTGCACCACTTTGGAACCATGGGAAGCCATTGTTTTTTGGCATTTACAGGGAATTCATAATTCTACTGCTTCTTAGGTGGTGCGAAACAAATTTCGTCCATCCACAGTATGCATATGTCTGCGTGATTTGCGGCGAGCTCACCTGAGGGTAAAACGAGTTTTGTTTTTCCAGGGAATTTAAGCATATGGAAGAACAAATTCGACATGTCTAGGTCCCCCAGTAGTGCCCTTCTCACCCCTTTTTTGGGAGGAGGGTTCCCCTACTACAATAGACTATATAAATAGAACAGAAGTTGGTACCAACTTATTCTAGCCCCTCTACTCAAGAACCTAGTTGTGTTTTCTTTGGGCACCTTCTTTTGGTAAAAAACAAGAGACGCCATTGACGCCATTTTGGGGACTGCCCCAAAGAACCGCTTATCCGTGCGCAGAGCCAAAGGCTCGCCCGTTTTTGCCCCAGGAGCAGCGCCTGAGGCGCCTGGAGGATGAGCTGCGCCGGGCGCACCTCGCACCTCGGAAGCGGAAGCGATGCCAGAGGAGAGGTCCAGAAAACTTGGGGCAGGTGGGAGCTGTTCTTACATGGGGGCTTTTTTGTTTCTCAGTATGGTTGTTGTTTTGCTGAAAGGAGGTGTGTTTTGTGGTTGAATTTCACGAGAACAATCTTCTACTGTTGGTTTTAAAGGACATCAACCGCTACTGGACATATCTTTGGTTTTTTGTTTCCGGCGGGACTTAACCAAATGGAGATATTCTATCGTTATTGAGCTCTCCGCTGAAATGTGTTAGGGCCGAATGGGGCTGTAGGTCAGGCAACCCTGAATTGGTCGTTTGAAGTTGGGCAACCCCGCCCCCCCCCCTCAAACCTCTTCCACCAATCCAAGCACCCTTTTTGAAGCTGATTGGGGTCTCCCATCGGGACGGTGCGACCCGAAAGGCCCCATTTTGGACCTTGAAACAAACGGGCTTTCCATTGAACCTGGAAAACCTCGAGCAACCCACGATGCTTGTGGTTCAAGCGGCAGGTTTTGCTTGAGGCTTGTTTCATCGAACTCGGACCCGCTGGAGGGTCTTAACCCAGATGAGATTTGCGTTCATTCGCTTGGAAATTCGAATCGGCAGGTAGGAAAGTAACTTTTGCAGTTCTGACCACTCCCAACAAAGAGCTTCCTGAAAGCAGGTTATTTCACCAAGGCTGCATTTCGAACTACGTCAACCCTGGGTACAGCCTGAGTGGGTTGGAGTTGAGAGAGAACCTGAGTCGGGATTTGCAGCTGGATGAGTCAGACACCGATTTGTTCTTGCTTGCTCTTTGGTTTGAGCAGAGCCTGAGAGCTTGATAGCCCTTTGGACAAGGATTGGTTTCACCTGTCAGCAAGAAGTTTAACTTTCAGTGTAGACCTTTTATGTGGGCAAAGTATGGTGACCCCAAAACAGTTTTGGTTTGCGGGCTTGCCCCGTGACGAGTGTCCCTTTCTCTAGGCTTATCCTTTTACAGGGGTCCCGAGTTATTTCCCTTTTTGGTGGTTTTAAACATCACCTTCTTGGTCCATGGAAGGTGAGTATCCCTTGGTGGGGGTGATGTTTTAAGGGGAAATATAGGGAGCCCTGTTCTATTTTCTGTATGACACAATTCCGCTAGATAGTATATGCTCGTACAGACTATTGGCTTGTTTGACGGCACCTCTTGTTGTTGTGAGGGAAGCCAAAGGGGAATCAGGCAAATCCCCACACTCGTTTGGGGCTCTATGTGTAGACAAGCTCCAATGGTTGACCAGGCCATGAACAAGATGCTGGCCTTTGTGGATGTGGGAGACCACCCGGTTATGGTGAAATCGCTGCAGGCGGGCCTGGAACGAACCACTTGGGCAAAGATTTGCCGGGTGTTAAGGGAAAGTTGACATGCCATTAATAAATGGGCGTGTCTCTTTGTCATTGTGAGCAAATTTAAAACAAAGTGCCCTGAAAGATTAAAGCAAGGTGCTTTGGGGCTCGGGGAAAGCGAGGTCAGAGGTTGGGCGCGGAAGTCGTGTGGCTTTTCTTGTGTTCATTGGCTTCTGGGGCTGATTTTCAGGAGAGACATTTTGGGACCCGTCTACCCACCAACCCAAAGAAGGTGTTTGAAAGAACCCTTTGACCAAGACCTCAGCGGAGAGGGCTGAGGTTTTCCGGAACTGTTCTGCTCTTGTCCTTTGGCGGAACGAGAACGAGTGACTCCCTGGCTGGGGGTCCCGAGTGAAGCTGAGTCACTTCGCTGTTGGCATGTTCTTTGTATTTTGCATGTCTATGTGTATTTGTTGTTTGTATTTTGTCACTTCTTTCTTCTTTGTATTTATTGCCATGATTTTGTTCATGTTTCGTGGGCTGCAAAGAACTGTGCTCAATTCTGATGGTGTTAGATACAGGTTCTCTCTGTTACGAAGGCGACGCTGATTTGGGCATGGTCGACTCTCTGACTCCGAAGAAGTCTTATAGCTGTACCTTGCTTTCCCTTTTCGGAGGCTTCGCCTTCAAAACCAAGGCACAGGTCGAGATCAAGTCTTGGTTGTTCGGAACCAGCCATCTGGTTCCGTATGTTTTTTGGGCTTTCAGGCGGTTTCGTGGTTGCTTCCGTTAAACCGCTAAAAGTTTAACTATGAATTCCCAGCCGCAATCAGCTCTCGGGTTTCTATGTCTAGGCCAGGGGGCGGCAATCAGTTTGCTTTTCCAGAAACACGCCTGCAACCCTGGAACTCTGTGTAGCAAACCTGGGTAAATGAACTTTGTGCCTTGTCGGGTTTCCTTCCTCTTTCCTTTCAACCAGCTACCAGTTTGGCCCATGTAGGCCTTCTCAAGGTCCAAGAATCCGCTGTTTTCCTTGCAAGTGGCAAAAGCGGAGATTTGGCACTGAGAAGCCAAAAAGTAGATGGGTTCCACTGGTAAATGATGGGATGACTATTGTAGTTGCAAAGAGATCACTTTCGTCTTCTGGCCAATGCGCTCGAGAATCCAGAACCCAACGGAGCTGTTGGTGAGTGGGCCTTGTGTTTTCTCAGTTCAGCGCTCCTCACAAAAAGTTCAATTTTCGGCCAAATGGACACAACAAATCAACCTTTTCCCAGCTGATTCAATCAGTTTCTACACCCAAAACCACCTAAAACCACCTAAGACCGCCACACACCACCCCAGAACCATCAGGAAAACCCAGCTGTGGGTCTTTCCAAGAAGCCTTGTCAGGACATCGTGCGACACGGCTTCGAGAACTGCCCCTGGCCCCAGAACCACACGGCGCTGCACTACGCCGCGCAGTACATGGAGGACCCCAGGCGGTGGGAAATGCGTTTCCCTCCGCGGGCGGGTTGTGAGGCGTTTTCGGAGGGTTCGATAGGAAGAAATTTGATCAACAATTTGCTCTGTGGGGGGAGTGGGGGGGAAGAAGGTATGATGTAACTTGAGGTATAACATATTTGCATAGGTGTCCTTTTGGTTGATTTGGTTGAGACAGAGGGCGAGTCTTGGTTTGCCTGGTGATTCAATTAACTACCAGAGGCGCTGGGAAACTCCGCGGCAGGAGAATGGTTTTCGGGGGGTTCGATGGGCAGCGAAGCAAGTTGACCCACTGTGGATGGTTGCGAACTCCAGACATCGCAGCACTTTGAAACTGTGAGACCATTGTTGGTTGGTATTTACAGGGGAATTTTCATTCTAGCAAGTTGGAAAAGGGGGTGTTGCTTAGTGGGGAGTCATTGGAGGGAACACTCCCCAAAAGGACAGGAGTATTCATCCGGGGCCAGCATTAATGTTTAATCAATGAGCCAACCAGTTTAATTGGGGGGTGTCCATTTCTGGGTGAAATGAGGGGAGTCAGACCACTTTTGGAGGCGAACAACCACCTCCCTATGAATAAGCTGGTTGGTTGATTAATATAAGTTGGAATGCCCCCTCACAAACCGGTAGGCAGGGAAGGAGTTGGAACATGCGCCATCCAACTGGTGGTTTTCTTTAAGGGAAACGCTAGGTTCATCGGACATGGAATGACCCCAAGCAAACCATCCAATTGGTGGTTTCATTAAGGGGAATCTGCCCTAGTGCGATAGGCAGGTCCGAGAATTGGAATCACCCCAAGAAACACCATCCATCCTATAGTTTCCTTTAAGGGAAACCTCAAACACTCAATTCCCGGCCTCGGTCTAGGTCATTCCCTACTGAGCACCAGCAAGTTTAGAAGGGGTGTCCCTGTGAGTGCAATTATCGAAATATCCGGGATATTTCGGAAAAATGGTTCGGGTTTTGAACGAAACCGTTGTGTCTTCTAGATAAAGAGTCGGGGCATATATTTGCCTGTCCATAGCCATTTTGGCTGAAATATTGCGCCCATCCGAACTGCCCTTGGAAGATGTAACCGCTTCATATTTCTTAAGGATCACTTTCCCAAATCTGTCCGGGCTACCCCGGCCATAATCCGGAAGATATAGTGGCTTTATTTTTTGTAGGGACCAATTTCCCGAAGTATTCCAGATATTTCGGGAACACCGTAGCCACCCATCATTTTCTCGAAATTTGCCGAATATTTCGGGATCCGTTTTCCCGAAATATTCTAAATATTTCGGGAAATGTTATCGTCGAAATATCCGGATTCCCCTATGTTTCCCCAATATGTTTCCCCTATGTGTTCCCCATGTGCTCCCCATGTGTTCCCCCATGCTTCCCCTATATTCCCCCATGTGTTCCCCACGTGTTCCCCATGTGTTCGCCCAGGTGTTCCCCATGTGTTCCCCCATGCTTCCCCAGTGTTCCCCCATGTTCCCCTGTTTCTCCCATGCTTCCCCTACTGTGGATGGAATCCTGTAAGAAACACTGGAATGATGATTCCCTGTAAATATCAACACTGGTTTCAACCATGGTTTTCATTTCGTGCTCCAAATTCTGGATGTCGCAACCATCCACAGCATTGGTTTCGGCCTGTGTTTCCCCCTTTTCCCCGCGCTCCGGCGGCGCGCGCGGTTGGCAGGCTGCTGTCGCTGCTTTGCGCGCTGGCCTCGCCAGAGGCCTTAGCGGCCAGGGACGACACCGGGCGCACGGCTGCGGACTACGCGCGCGCAGGGCAGAAGCCGCAGCTGCTGCGAGTCCTCGAGGGAGAGGCGGCGGGGGGGGGGGGGTGGGGGGGGAGGAGGGTTGGGGGTGGGTGGAGGGGTCTGCTTCGAGACTAAGATCATGGGTGTCCGTGGACTTGTGGCAAGGGTTGCCATGTGGTAATGGTTTCCTCTCCCACAACTCATGTAGTGAAAACAACAACATTTGATCACATTTGGAGGGTGAATGTGAGTAAATATTGCATAGAGTCGGATTGTTTGGGTCTTGGACCACAAGCTGAACCCCGCAACTTTTGAGTCGAAAGGGACAGTTGGACCCTTTTGGTCGGGAAAAGGGAACTGGACCGGGCGTGTGCTTCTTTGCTGGGGTCATGTTTTTTCCACTTTGGCCGTACTGAATTTCCCTCGGTTCTGGTGTTTTCTCCCTTGGGATTCCCCCAACTTGGACCCCAACAGGGAGGGGTTCAATCCACAATTAAATCAAAGGCTGGGTTTATGAATCCAGCATTGTTTACCTATAAGTAGTTGTCATCACCTAAACTGGGTGCCTTGCCTTATTTTTACTGGGGCAAGGAGCACTAGGGAATCAGATTCCCTTTCCGTCTCCTTTTGGTTTCCTTTCAAACACCACAGGGTTGACTTCGAGAATGAGCGTCCCCCTTACTCCCAATTACCAGCCTTTTTGAGGGTATCATGTCGGCCCTCTGCAACAATCCGGGATCGGTGTTTACCATGGAAACCGTTGGCTCGTTTAAATGAAACGCAGCTACAAAGAGAGGGTATTTGGCAGTGACTCATAGGTTTTCCTTTTGGTTGTCTTGCTCGAAAAATAGAGGGCGATTCCTGGTTTACCAAATCGGTGTTTTGTTTTTTTCATCTACCAGGGAAACCCATCGATTTCCCCTAAAAAGGACACCTATGGTCAGACTGATCCGAGGGAACCGCGCCGTGCAGGTCGCTCCTTCGAAGCCGCCGATGGCCTCCTTCCTGGCGCCCCAGCCCGCGCAGCAGCCGGAGCCGCCCATCTCCGGGCCGGCGGTGACCCAGGCGGAAGACGGGCATGGCTCGAGCCGGGGTTTGGGCTGGCTTAAAGGGAAAAACAAGGAAACCTCATTGTTATTTTTTTGGGGGGTGTCCGATTTGAAAAAACAAAAAACGATTTCGGTTTCCCCGCAGTAGTAGTTGGGCGCCGAGCCTGAAAAAAAAGGTGTTCTTTGTGGTTTCCCTTGCCAGGGTGAAACGGGCAATCGCAAACACGGCACGGCGGCGAGGCTTTGCGAAGTGGAACGCTGGCCAAAGCTCGAAAATTTATGGCGCTAGCTTCAAGGGCTATGGATTTTTTTTCATTGTGGCCGGAGAACGTCCAGCAATTGGCGGGGGTGTTACTCGCACCTTGGGGTTGAAGTTGCTCCAAATCGCTTCAGTGGAGCCATGGCTCTACAGCAATGGCAAGTTCGCAATCCGATCCATACGAGGTGGCAAGCCCTGTTTGGCAGGGGATACATTCATCTGCCATACTAATCCAGAGTCAACATGACCTTTCGAGCGAATTTGGGTTGACAGACATGAATAAGAACCAGCGAACACTGAGCTTTTACAGTTTCTCATTTCTCCTGTTTGTTTTTAAGGGAATCTATCACTCCTGGAGAGAGTATTGTCATTTTCCCGGCGCACATACCGCAAATGGAGGCACTTCAGTTTTTTTACTTGTTTTTTGGCCCAATTCAGGCTGTGAGTTTGTTTCTCGAGTCGACTCTCGCCAGAATTTTGCGTTTTCCAGATGTACTTGTTTTTTTTGGCCCTATGTTGTTCTTGCATTTGTTTTCCAGATGTATGCCTTTGGCCCCAATTCCGGCTGTGAGTTGGTATTTTGCTCTTGGGCTGAGGTATGGTAGCATGGGCTCTCGAGCGCGGATGCGCCTCGCGCTTCGCCAGGAGCAGCTCTATGCTGCGGCCAAGCACTGCCGGGGCTATCTCCACAAGTTCCCCACCTCCGGTGCCCCGGCACGCGCAAATTGGGCCCGATTTCTAGTAGTAAATGTCAGTCTATAATATATTTTGTTAATGTTGAAACGCATGTGGAAACATGAACTGTGTTTGAAATGCTTGACCATAATGGCCCCGGCCATTTTGGCTCAAGCTTTGTTCTTGGGTTCTCTGAACCCAACTTGTGTGAAAAAATTGAAAGGTAGCACTTCCGAACTAACCCCGAACCAGCAATGGCCTCCTCGGCAACTTCGGCAACTTCCTTCGAGTTGATTGAGGACCAGGCACTCACCGCGGAGGAGGTGGAAATGGCCAGCCAGGAGGCCCAGGAAGTCCGCACACGCGAGGCGGCTGTGGCGGCCGGCCTGGTGTTGGATGAGCCCGAGGCGCCCCAGTCGGCATCGGCCACCGATGTGATGAACGACCTCTCCAGTGCACTGGAGCGGCTCCGTGTGGCCTTCTCCACACCGACTCCCGGCCTGGGTGCCCCTGGCCCCGCCGAGGACGAGGACAAGGAGATGGGCGATGCGGTCACCACGGAGCGGGCTACTCCACCAACGAAGAGGCTGAAGGGCTTCGTGGCGGCCTCCCAGAAGACCACGGCCCCGGTGAACAAACCGGTCTCCCTGGTGCCGGTGGATGGCCGTCCTGGCTATTTCAAGCTAGTTGACCTCCCAGACCTCTTCCCGGTCCTTCCGGCATCGGCGGCCACGTTGCTGAGGGACGTCACGGTGGAGGAGGCGGTCTCCCTGTTCCACAAGTTTGTCGGGAAGAATCTCACGGAGGACTTGGTGGTTCGCATCCTGGAGGCTTATGTTCCGATGAAGATCCAGATCCGGCAAGAGGAGGTCTGGGCCTCACAGTTCCAGCGGAATAAGGCATGCATTGGCACCCAGCGGATGCACAGACTCGATGCCGGCCACTCGGACTACAAATTCATGTGTAAGGCATGCGGCACGGGGTGGCCGGAGGCAGCCAATCAATGCTGGGTCTGCCCGGGCAAGGAGTTTGTCCCCTTCCAGGCACCCTCGGCTACCTACGAGGCGGACGGCGTCACGTACAACCTGCTCATTGTGGACCTGGATCCAGCAGTGGGATGGGGGAAGCCTGGGTGCCGCTGGCCCCGGTGGTACCCGGGCACAGGCAGGCCGTGTCCGAGGAGATCACTATGGCTGACGTGGTCCCGCTTAACAGGCGGGTGGACATTCGGCAGGAGATCCTGTCCATGGAGGCGGACGACGAGGCGTTGAAGGTCCGGGAGCGCCAGGAGGTCAAGGTCAAGGTGCAGCGGTCCCTGCAGGAGGCAGAGGCTCAGAGCTTCCAGCTCTACCACCCCCAGGTGGACCAGGCGATCCGGAGAAAGGAAGAGCTGCATAAGGCCTTGAGGGAGCACCGGGAACCGACCCCGGAGGAGTCCTCGGCCAGGCGGCGGCACAAGGAGTTGGTCACGGATGAGATGTTGGACAATGAGATGGCAATCCTGGCGCCTCTCCAGGAGGGCATGCAGGCCCTGCCGGCAGAGGAGGTGGCCAACGAGGGAGCGTGGAGCGATTCAAGGCCAAGCTGCGAGACCAGTACCTGGAGGGAAAGGGTGTCGACGCCAGCCAGGCACTGGCTGATGCGATGGGCTCCATTCAGGAGGCGCAGGAGGCGAACAAGCGCACCCAGGACACCAACCAGGCATGGATGCTTAACCACACCCTCCAGCCCCTCAAATTGTCGGCATGGCCAGATGATCTCAGGCAGGCCCTGGAGAGGGGGCTGTTCTGCCCCCTGGAGCTGGATGACCCTGAAGACATCCCCAACGTGGGGGACATCAAGGAGAAGTACGTCCCATACATCCGGAGGCTCAGAGAGGCGCAGAACCCGTGGAACCAGGAGGCGTTGCTGGAGGAGATGCCCGATCTGGCGACACCGGCCCCCCCCAAGGGTGCCACTGGCCCTGGGAGGGACCAGTCAGGGCCACCGCAGGACCTGGACTCGGAGGAGGGTAAGCTGTCCCTGCTCCTCTGGGCGATGAAGAGGCACCAAGGGGAGCTACGGATGTTTGGGGGGATCTGGAAGAAGCACTCCAGCGGTGAGATCCCCAAGGGCGCGGACCAGCCATTCAAGCTCTCGCCGGAGGAGCTCCTGGCCCTGGCGCAGGACCCACCCACTCACGTGTGAGCGGGACCACATCGACCCGATCATCTACTCGGCCCTGGAGATCCGAGCGCAGGTTAACCGGGGTGAGCGCCCGGCGCCGGAGCAGGTGGTGGGGATCTTCTGGGCTAAGGGCGATGGCGTGTTTTGGACAAGGCAGACTCGCACGTGGGACCTGCCGAGCTTGACAGGGGTGTACGCCCATCGCTTCACCTTCAAGTACATCTACTCGGCTTGGACCACATTCCCGCTGGTCGTGAAGACGCAGCGACGGGGCCGCAATGTGGAGGGCTCGACTTCGGATAAGTGGATGGGGAACATCCTCCAGATGCGGAAGGAGGCGGTCCCCACACCAAACTGGTGGCGGGCCTGAGTAAGTCCTCCATGGTGGAGATCAAGGTCAACTGGCGTTGCAACGTGGTCCATGACTGGGTGGAGCCGGTCCCGCAGGAGGCGGCGGGGGCCCTGTACGACCGGCTGGGCTACTCCCAGGACCTGATCAGGCAGCTGGGCTGCTCCCCCCCCTTGGGTGCCTCTGGCCCCGGGGGCGGGGCGGCCAAGGAATCGGACCCCAAGGCCAAGATTCTGGCGGGAGCGGACACCACGCTCCGCACGCCGGACCAGGGTACCAGGCGGTACCCCCCGATCACCACGTCCACGGTCACGGCGGTCGCGGGCCGGAAGTACATCAACAAGCACTTCCCGAATGGAACCAAGCACGTGTTCTGGGCCTCGGTGGAGTGCGGCCTGGTCCTGCCCAGCATCAGCGCATGGGAAGTGGTGGGCAAAGAGAAGTTCAAGACCACCGGGGGCTACATGTGCAGGTTCTGCAAGGGCTTCTGGAAGGCGAGCCGTGGGGGGACCAGGCTGCTCCAGATTACGGGCTGGCACAAGGACAAGGCCACATGCCTGCAGCTGGTGATGGACGAGCCCCCGGAGCAACTCTATAACCAGTGGATCCGGGACAGGATGGAGTTCTACAAGCGGGTGGAGCCGACGGAGCCCCCCAGGGACGAGCGGCTAGTCCTTGGATGCGAGCACCCCGCGCATGCGCTTCAGCTCTTCGAATGGCCTGGGGGATGTCTCCACTGCCCTGTGGTCGGTCATCCTGAGCAACCCAGAGAAGTCAGGGCTGGCGGCCATCCACTCGGTGGCAAAGGAGGCGATCTTGAAGGGTGAGCCGCTAGGTCGTGTCTCACTACCCTTTTGGAGGTGGAGTCGTATGATCTCTCCCCACCGGGACTTGGGTGCCTCTGGCCCCGTCTTGGGTGGGGGGGAGGTGTTGGGGTGTTTCCCTTGTTTTGGGTTCATCATTCACCTTGGTTCCCCCCCCTGTTCAACACGCCACGACTGCCGGTTTGCCTCGAGCCGGAGGCTGCGCAATTTGGCTGCCCCAAGGACGGGCCGTATCGGCCGCTGTTTGAAGAAAGTGGCTGCGGCTGACGCTGGGCTCCCTGAGGTCCCCTTGGGGGGTTTTTGGGGAATCCCCCGTCGGCTGGGTCTTCCCCCCTCCGTGGTTCTTTTGGGGATTTCCGGGGGGGACTCTTTGGGCTTGGTGGGCTGCATGCCGCCTGCCTGCCCCACGCGCACTCGGCATCAGGAAGGGTTGGTCGTGTTTGCAGTTTGTCGCGGTTGGGTCCCGGCCATTCGATAGGAGGCTCGAACCCTTGTTTTCAGCATGGCTAGGGTCTCTACACAGTTTCTGTTGCGCCCGCCTTACACTCGTCTTTGGGACCGCATTCTAAGGGTCCTGTGGGACACGCTGGCGGATGAGTCTATCTCCGAGACAGACAGACGGGGAGTTGCGGTCCTGATGTGCCTGCGCCATGGCACGGCGGAGGAAGGGAGGCAGCTGGGCGGGGAGCCGGCTCTCCGCTTCGCTCAGCTCCTGGAGCTAGCGGGCATTCCGGTGGGCCAGGCTGATTCAGTGGTACCAACGGACTACTTCAACGGCCTGGTGGCGTCGGCGGCGGGCAGGCTTCCCCAGCCTTTGTCCGCGGGGGACCTGGCCGACCTTTGGGATAGCCTATGGCTCCTCCTCATGGCGGCTGCGGACGGCAAGCTCAGCGAGAACTTTTCCCCGCTGGAGAATGAGTTGGACCGCCAGGACCAACTGAGGTGGTTCTCGCGGGATGACCCACCCCCACTCCAACAGCCGGAGCTTCTGAAGTGGCGGCACTGGAGGCCCGGGAAGATCAGGGAAATGGAACCCACGACTCAGCGAGCACTGGAACTCCATATGCGCGGGAAATGGGCGGAACGGCTCCTTGCCCACTTCGCCCCCTTTGCGGAGCACATCGCATACATGCAGGACATCCTGGGGGAGGACTTCCGCAAGGAAGCACTGGACCTCTTGGGGGATAGCAGGTTCCGGACGCTCAGGCAACACTGCCTGGTCTACGAGAGTCTCCGCAAGAGAGGCTTCACCGTCATCCCATGGCAGGAACGACATGTCCGTTCTCTCCTCAACCAGCTCGCCGATGAGGAGGTCACCCCGTGCAAGTTGCGGCAGGTGTGGAACACCCTCAAGTGGTTCTCCAAGACCTTCGGACTGCTGAAAATAGACGAACTCCATCGCCTCAAGTCCAAGAAGAGCTCATTGGAAGAGGCGCTCACGGACACGGTCACCAGGCCACAGCGTAAGGCGGTGGTCCCTAGCAAGGAGGTCATTTGGGCTCTGGAGGAGGGGGCCGGCTACGATCGCCTGGGTGCCACCGGCCCCGGCACGCAGGAGGCCCCGAGCAAGAACAGACACGAGGTGCTGGACGCTTTCATCCTGGGGTTCGCCCGGTTCCAGGTGGGTTGCAGTGCTCGCTTCAATGACCTCCAGCATGTTCACCCCAAGGACCTTATCCACACCAGCAACAC